TTTACTTAGAGAAGAAAGAAATTCCAAGATCTAAGCAATTCAGTTCTCTTTTGCAGTGGAGCATGGAACCAGGCTTCCAGCACTCGCTGGCAGAACTTACACAATGATTTTCACGTTCACTAACTGGGATGGAACCCATTGTTTTTGGCAAGAGATACCATCTCTACTACTTAAATGGTATCAACATTAGCAGCAGTAGGCTGCTATCCTCCCTGTGGGCCACTATGAGCAGGACCACGATTATGGCATATTAAGCAAGAGTTAGATGCAACATGCCCAACCACTACACATGAGCAACACTGTGCCTCGCAGGCAGCAAGGAAACACGCTACTGCGCTACACCCAAGGCTCACTCTCCTCCTTCATGGTTAGAGGCTGGCCTCAGTAAGGACAGCTACATCATTCACAACCTACCAGACGCACAGCTGTACTCTGTCGGAAGCTGCAATTAGACAGCACAATATTTATGGATTCTAGATAAAGAATTTTGAACATTACAGCTACAGCTATACAGCCCCTTGACATTAACACATTTGCTTTATGTAAAGATTGCAATGCGAAGTGCAGCCCTTTGTTTCTCATACCTTTTAATAAGAAAACTCCACCACCACAGGAGTAGGGAAAAAACAACGTGACAGTGTTGTTCAACATGCCACCACCGAAATAGATACATAGACCTGTTTTCTCACAGCACAGACACCCAAGCCAACCATCATCAAAAGCAAAGGACTCACAGCAAACTCGTTGTCTGGATCTTTTTCTCCTTTCCTGACTGGTCGGGAGTGTGTGAACTGCTGTACCTCATTTGCTCTGTAGTAGCTAGAAAGAAGCAGAGTAAATGTCGAGTTTGCTCACCTCCCATCATCTTCACATAAAAGCTCTTCTATTTCCTCTCAAAAAAATCAAGTTTAAATTGGACTGTGAAACAAATTTACACAAGACACAAAGGCACTCCACCTTGTGCTTAGGCTAGCTGACAAAAATACAAAGGAAATGTTGAGAGAAAAAGAAATTACTTCAAGATCTGTTCGGGTACAGGTTTATCTTTATAATTAGGTGGCAGGTTCATCACAGGCTTCACAATAAAGCACTGTACATCTGAGCAACTATAGTTAAGGATGAAAAACTATGAATCCTTTCAGGAAAACAGGAGAGGGAGAGAAATACCCTTCCTGTCTTCACCAAATATCAGACTTCTCCACAGCTCCCTGTGCTCTTGTCATATTTGAAGAGAAATACTTACTAGTTCATTAACAATCACATGCATTCTATTGCTTCTTGTAGTTTGTATGCTAATTATGAACGAAAAGCCCAAAAAGCTAAGGGCTGTGCAAATACTTCCAACTACTTAAATTCCCTGGTGAAATGCTTGGGAAGCCTGGGTGCTACTGATTTCTACATCGGGGACAGGAAAACAAGATTCTGTAGTAGGTTCTGTAATGGATGCATCTGTCCCTTCTCTCTCTCCCACCACTGCATGGTTATTTGTCAGATTCTTCCAGTACAGTGAAGCTGCCCCTCCCTCCCTCCCACTTTTTTTGATCAATAAAGCTAACTGAAGAAAGTAGGCTGTTTTTAATCAGTATCTACTTCATCTTCAGCTTTGCACCTGTGAATCATGATAGAAAATTAAAAAAAAGTTAGTAATAGTATCCCCAAGCACAACAGCTTACAATGTTGTTCCTCCAGAGTTCTAAGGACTGCATTGAAGGCTTTACAGAAGTAAAAACTGTATGGAAAATTAAGACATAAACAGTTTGACCTACATGAATGGATTGTTTCTGTGAATCACCTGCCAACTGCACTCTGAAACAGCAATGTTTTACTGGTAGGCAGGGTAGCCCCATACATCCTTTATTTCACTAAGAATAGTGCTAAACAGTATTTTGACAGCAAAGGCAAGGTCATTCTGCCTGCATTGAAGAGCCAGCTGGATAAGAGCCAAATCTGAACCCAAAACTGCATAGCCACATTAGATCAAGCACCGAGCCCAAGCTAATATATTCTTTCTCTCAGGAGAGCTTATTAGCTTGGGCTTCATGCCATGCTACGCATGCTATACAGCTTCTAGCTCAGAACTGGTGGCAGACTAGCCTGTGTAAGTGTGCAGGCACTCCCTGAGATTGTGTACAGCTCATCTGACATCGCCAGTACACAATCGTGAAACAACCAAGGGAAGAACAAGGCATTTTATCATAAAAGAGCAAGGAAGCAGATTCTAAGCAAAAGTAAAAAAGAGCCTGAGACAAAGGAGGTTAAAAAAGCATGAAATTAAAACAAACTACAGAACCATCAAGCCCTGCCTAACACAACAATGATTTGGGCAGTCAAACTCCTCATCTTTTCAGAAGGTGTTTGTAAGAGTCCGAGAAGAACCTGTACCAAATCCAAGCTATGCAGCTGCTCCCCTTTATAATGGGGCTATGCCAAAGACCCGGAACCAAACACCCCCAAACTTTTGGAAGAGTTCAGATCTGGATCCAAATTTTGCAGTTCAGGTTCATCTTGAGCCAAAAACATTAGAACAAACACAAACAGATGCAAAGGAAGTAGCTGAAACAAAGCAGCAATAAAGAGGCATTTTTTGATACCAAGCTTGGTCCTGAATGAATTTAATTTCCTATGTGGATTTAGTGCTTGGCAGGCTTATTGCAAGGAAAGCATCTGGTATCACTGCTTGAGTTGTGCCTTTGTACACAGACTTTTAAGGCCAAAATGGACCACCAGATCCTCTAGTCTGGCCTGTATAACACAGGCTAGAAGCCCAGTAACTTGATTTTTACTGACGTACATCTTCCAGGAGCACACCTGCTGTTCACTGGAAGTCACAAACAAGAATCTGAAGCATATTCACTAGCTTGCCCTTGGTCATGCTCACAATTAAGAAAAAGAGGACCTGAAGCCTAGTGGTGTGCTGTGGCACATAGTCTGGAGTTCCACCAGCTCACACTTCTTACAAAGTGACTTCTAGGGAAAAAAAAGACCCCAGCCACTTCATAAATGCAAGTAAGAAGTGAGCACACTTCTACTTTCTTTATATCCCGCTTTCACAGCCTGTATTTTACTTCTTTTACCTAGAAATACCAAATTGGATCACAGCTATACTGCAGCAGTCAGCACCACCTGCTTGAGAAGAAGGCACAAGAAATCCTGACCTGCAATCTGTTGAGGTTTCAGCCTAACAGCAACTCGTTTAACTCTGACAATATCAAGCTGTCTCTCTTTTTCAATATGTTTAAGTTCACTATTGCAATTCTGGATAGTCTTATTTTCATGCCCAGTGCCTGCCTTCAAAGTCCCTCTGGGGCAGTAAGTTCCTTGCTCGTTGTTGTTTACCAGTTCTGTTATTCTAGGAAGGCAGCAGATCTTGCATGTGTCAAAACACATTAGAACCAAAAGATACACTGTTTAGGAGAAGACTTGATCTCTTCTCCCGGAGGGGCAGTGCTGGTCATCTTCTCAGCACTAGGAAACTGGGTCAATAGCTTCAGGTTGAAGTCCTCCCTTCGTTCATACTCTTTGCCACGGTAGATAAAAATTTTATTCTGTGGGTAGCAGAAGGAAAAGAGAATTAACACTAAACAAAGCAATGAGAAAGCGCTTTCCAAACATACACTGAGTCTCAGAGACCTAGTTTATATGAAGAGATGTCTCCTAGCTTAACAGACAGAACACAAGAGAAGAAACACAGGCTGCAGGGAGAACACAGCAGGTCTCAGGAGCAAGGCCCCTCCTATTTGCCTAGAAAATTCACTGTTCCACACAGAGGTGTTGCTGAACACGTTCACACTTTCTAGCACTCTAAGAACTCACACATTCAACACGTGAAATCTCAGTCAGGGGACTGAGTTTAAGTAAGAGAACAGGTGAACCAAAAAGTTCTTTGATGCAGGGCACTGCCTGCTCCTTGCCAGACCACTTCTGCTCTGAGTTAACCGAGGGATCTCTCCGTGCACGAAGACACGAGTTTCACCTCCCTTCCATTCCTGACTCTCTTCAGCTACCAGGAACAAAATGGCCAGCTACAGCAGTTCTGTACCACAGACTCAACAGCAGACCACAGCCAATTATTCTTCCAAACTGGCCACCAAGCAGGCGTGGTTTCTGGACAAGATGGATTCAAAAACATGACCTGGAGGTGAAAGCCTTCTATGCCATCCAGTTCACAGTCCTAAGTTAACATTTTTATTTTTTATTAAGCTTGGCTTCCATTTCAGGCCAGCAACTTCAAACAACTCCAGTCTGAAAATGTAAACGTTCCTTAATTTTAAATAATAGTTGGGAATATTTTTTAGTACGCTGCACCCCGCCCATCTGACTCACTTTGGCTAGATTCTTGTATTATAGCTAGCATAGATCCAGCAATGCTTAGCAGCAATCTCAAACAGGAAGCATCTCTGCATTTTAATTCTTCTGCGTGGGACAGACTCTCGCTAATGTGCGTGAAATGATCCATGTCCTGAAAATTAGGTTGATTCAGGCTGAAAAGCAACAGGATAAATTCTTTACAAGCTAAACATGTTCTAAGGGCAACAGTCTTATTTCTGAGGAAGTGCATAGGGCACAAATAGAAAAGGCAGATTCTGTTTAAGTCTATATAAGAACATACCAATCATCTAACAAACCCTGACACCAACTTTATTAAAGCTGATAACACAAAAAAATCTGGTCTCTCACTTGTCTCTCTTATATGCTGAAATGCTTTGAAATACTTAAGGGATTTATATCTCTTCAGTGTCATTCAAAGGAAAAGGAGTTTGGTATCTGAATTTTCTTGGAAGCTATGCAAAAGTTGTGACTTTTAGGGTACCCACCACTCCAGAACTCTAGTGCTGAAGAATTCTTACCCGGAGGAAAGAGGGAAAACCTTGACCATAGTATCCAACAGCAAAGTACTCTGGCTGAGGCCTCATTGCCTTCATGATATTCTCATAAAAAGTCGCTCGTTTTTTCTGAAAAAGAACAAGCCACCAGCATTTTCACTTTGCAGTATTCAAGGACCCTGTCAGACTGTAGCTCACATTCCCAGTGACAATTCCTGATCTATTAGCTCTCGCCTACAGAACACTTTTTACAATTATTTTTTTGATACAGTATCTCCTACTTATCCATTTACTTGCTTAAATATTTGGTTTGTCTGGGCCAGAATCAACTTCATTTCCTGGTTTGCAGACATGAGAACAATGCCATGTTTTGTAGCATTCCAGAAGGGTACTTGAAATCCTTAACTATTGCAACACAAATTAAAAATAAATACGTTCTGAAACTGAGCAGACACAAATGGTGACAAATGTCAGAGAACTGGCAGAAATAAAACTGGGCAGATGATTCTCATACGAAAGAACATAAAGACCATCTGGTTACATCTTTAACCACTAAAAAACATAATTCAGAACCAAGATGATTCTATACTTCTGTGTTCATACACAGTAGTTTTACCACAGAAATAGCAAGGTGATAAGATTTATGGAGCCTGAAAATACACCGCGCAAATGTTACCTTATTTGATTAACACCAAGAATGCTACACATCTGCACATGATACCATCATGTTAATTACAAGGTCAAAACCACACACTTTAAAAAACATTACGAAAACATTCTTCTAATACTAAGCTTTACAAAACCATAGAGGTTATGTTGGTTTGTTTGTCTTTAACATAAATGTATTTTGGGCTTATCCTGCTCAACAATATTAATTTAAGCAGTCAGCGGTCTGCTGAAAATGGAGAAAAAAAATCTTACCAGAAGATTACCAAGTCCCTCATAATCAAAGACCTTGTTTTCGTACATGTCAGCCAACTCTTTGCTTAGCTGAATGGCTTTTTCCCACATCTCCATGGAGGTTGAAGAGAGGCAGGTGGGCGAAGAAGAGCACAAGGAAAATAAAAAGAATCAGTTAAAAGCATTCATTACCACAGATAGGTAAACAAAAAATTCAGCTGATTTTAATTCAGGCAGCACTTTAATGCGCTGCCAACTTTCCCTTAAACTCCATGCTGTACATTTTTTGCAGTAATTATTATAGTCACACAGCTCGTTTGATTTGTAGATCTGAAAGTGATTTACAAAGCAAGGTTTCTATTGTTACTCCTGACAGGGAAAACTGAGGTACAAAGAGGCAGAAGGACGTGTTGAAACAACAAATGAGAGAAGCCCAGGTGGTCTCCTCCTACACTCGTACTTCACCCCCTGCACCAGGCTTCCTTGGGTTTGTCTCATTTAGCCCCGGCAGAACCATACCTACCCAAAGCACAGCTAACACCAGCTGTATGGCAGACAAGTCATACTCAGCGTCATGCAAAATAATCTGACAAAAGCCATTACCCAGAAAAAGAAAGGAAAACAGTTTTCTCATCTACCCAGTATCTTGAGCAGGGTTAATTTTTCAGATGCTCTTCAACTAACAAGGAAACAGAAGGACTGAAATATTGAAGCACACATACACGCCCTGCTCATGCCAGTACTGTGGTCCCCCTTAAAAAGCCAGGCCTAACCATCAAAGGCCTATTACAGAATCACGTCTGCTTCTACCCTTAAAACCAGCGCTGGCCAGCTACATTCACCAAGCCGAGCATTTACCAGTGAACTGTAAGAACACTGCAGAGACACTCACTTTGCCCCTGTCAAAGAAGGAGATAATTTCTTGGTAGAGTTTTTCCTTGAGTTCCTGCTGTGAGTAGACGTAGTAGCTGTCCCTCTGCAGGAGGTGAGGCACACACGGCTTCTCAGACCACTAGCGAAGCGGGAGAAAAGGCAAAGTTGAAAACTGGAACATTTTCCAATTAACAAATCCTTACAGTGGATAGACTCACCTTCTGCAGGGATGCATTCATATTTAAAAATCACCTTAAAATGTTAATACAAGTTTAATTATATCTGCAAAACTGGTGCGATTCTGGCTTAAGGTCTTACGTTGAGACACTAACTAAATGTGTATGCTTTATTACTCTGTGGAAGACATGAAGAGGCTGACTTAAATACAGATTAAAATGGCTTTGGCTAACGCATTTAACACTGTTCACCCAGAATTGGAAAAAACTGTACCATGACTCCGAAACACAGACATTTTCTCCCAGTTCACTATAGCACACTGTTTCACCAAGAGCGTGTAGCAAATCGATGCTAGTAACATTTTGGCTTTCATCCATTTAGCTGCTGTGCAATTTGCAAAATTGTGAAACTCCTTAATCACCACTAAAACTGGGGTAATGCAAAGTCACATTAAAGAAAAAAAAAAAAAGTGAATTGTTTATTCTGAGCTGTTTACACTTCATTTAAACCCCCCCCCCCGACACTGGAAACTAAAATTTGCTTTAGTGTAATACCTGGAGCAGCTCTGCATGGAGGAGGAGAGTGTATGCTGCCTCTGTGAAGTTCTCACAGTCCGTGTGCAGGTCCCGGAGTTTATACAGGTACCTAAATAAACGAAAAACAATTGTTACTTGACGTGAAGGACTCCTGTATCAGCATACAGAATACCAAGAAAAATAAAGGCTTCTATACAGGTTTATGGGGGGAAACGGCCTACCTGATATAAATGTCCTCTCGTTTCTTCTCCTTATAAAAATTCTGCCAAGAACAGAAAAAAGTCAAACTTTTAGATGAATTGCGCTATGGATTTGCATAACCATCTCTAGACAAGTAACTTAAACATCAGTTTTAGATATTACAAAGATCTCTGATGCCATTTTGCCTACTTAGGTGCATATATCCCTGCAAACGTCCCTTTAACATAAGGTGGGGCTACTATCACCTCTAGAAAAGGGCTAAGGCGAAGAGAGAACGTGACTCATCCAAAGTTATACAGGCTCTTTGCAGTGGAACAGGGACTTCAGCCCGCATTTCCCAAACTAACAGCTAGCCATCCTTCCTGCCTGTATTTCAGGGCTGCAGATGACCGTGTAGACAAGCATCAGCCATGTGACTTGATTTTGGACTGTACACCTTTCTATGCTTTATAGCTGTCAATAGCTGGTAGCCTGATTTGGGCCCATCATTAATGAGAAACGGCATAAATAATTACTTAAAATCCTACAAAAGAAAAAAAATCCTTCAGAATCCACGAAAGCCAGGTCAGTAAAGAAGGACTCGCATCCAGATCTAGCCTTCCCCATACCAGCACGTTGACAGTGCAGCTCATGCGGTTCTCCTTGCTTTCATCATGCATGATTGTCCTGTAGTCCAGCAGGTTCTCCAGCAGGCTGCTGACCAGCAAAGCAAACATTTCTCCAGAAGCAGACAGGTATTTATGCTTCCGACAGTGCTCCAAAAGGCTGCAGATAGAACCAGAGAGACAGAAGGGAATACTCAGTTACAGTTCGGAGCAGTGGGTAAGTAGAACTTCAGTGTAAATTACTCAAGCAGCCACTCAGCTAACAGACTGAAATAATGTCTCCTGAACAGAGACTCTCACCGTGCTGAACAGTGCACTACACCCACAGACCCGAGATACCTCAGCCAGGCAGGTGAAAGCCTGGTCCTGTTGATCACAAATCTGGGTTCTACTCTCGGTGATATAAAAGGTGGCTCTGATTTTGTTTTGACTCTGAGCCTGCTGTTCCCAAGCTTTTCCACTTACAACCCCACTGCCAGTTTGGCACCTGCCTCTAGTTTTATCTCCAAGTTTAGGGTAGTTGTGCAAGCTGCTGCTCCAGAATAAAAGCATCATTTCAAGGCAATTGGTCTCAGAACACCTGTACAGCATTAAGATCACTGCCAACTGCAGCCTCCCTATTCACTGGAGTAATGAATTAGGGTTTCTTTGCCTTAGAAAAATAGCCAGCTAAGCCATAAAAAAGAGCCTCTGTGTTCTTTACAAAACTTACAGTTTCTCCAGCAAAATCTTGTACTGTTCGTCCCCTCGGCCACCCTCCACTTCCTGGTCCAGCTTAGTTATCAGCTCATTTTCAAACTGAAAAGGCAGAAAACCACAATCAAATAGACAGCAGCTCTCAAGAGTGTGGTCTGAACATTTGTAATGCTTGTGGCTGGCATTTCTGAACTGCCCCGCCATCAGACAGTGGTTTTACAAGCGAAGCTACAAGGACGCTTTCATTGTTGGAGCAGAATAAAAACGGTAAGAAGCCAAAGTGACAAGATTGGAGCAAGCAAATACAAGTCCTCCCTCTCTCATCCTACAGTCACTGTAAAGTCATGCTCTGGGTTAATCCTTCCCCTTCTCCCCCATCCATTAGCAGTTCAGTTTTGCTAGGATGGAGAAGCATTCTAACGGCCAGCTTACAGAACGGTCATTCGCTCACTCTAATGAAACTGAACTGCTACCATCAGTTAAGGGCAAGTCGCAACTCTCTGGCCATCATCAACACTTGTGACGACTAATTACAGCAACTTCTCATGATGCAAGAGCCAAGTCCTGTCTAGCCATGAAGACATGCCCTTCTGTGTGCAAGCAGATGAAGTACATAGTCTGAGTTACAACTGTAGCTAGTATATAAATACCACTGGAATGGAAAATCCATGCCACACGCATCCTGCTTCCTTTTACCAATTCCAAAAACCCCTGAGACCCTGGGGCCAACCACACCAAAGACTGATGACCCCAAGGGAAGAAAGATCCCGCATGCACACCGAAGCTGGGGTCTAAGCAGGCGTGAGGATGGTGCTCAGGGAGATGCACATCACATTTGACAACAGTCTGAAATGCCAAGGTGGCTGCCTTTTGATGGATGGCTCCTACCCATCTCCAGGGAGAAGAATGTCTACAGCATAACTACAGTGTCCCCTGCCTGCCAGCTGAGATGTTAATGTGTGATACCCCCAGAGGAAAGCTAGAAGAGTAAGTCCTTAGAAAGTGCAGTGAAAACCTCAGAGCAAAGCGAAGCTCCTCTTTTGCCTTCTTTACTTTGAGGTGCTTTCTCAGTAGCAATAAAAGGTAACTTCTGGAGAAATTAGCACAGGGTTGGAACTCAGGGATGCGTGTCCTGCTCCCTGCTCTGCCCTTCTACTTGTGAAACCTCAAGCAAACCATGTCTGTCCTTTGTTATCATTGATCTCCTTTCCATAATGGTGGCATAAGTATTCATAAATGTGTTGTCAAATTTGAAGTTAATGAGGAATTAGTCAGTATGTAAGCAACTATGTAGTCCTAACACTTGACTGTCCAGCAATTTTCTTTATAGTAACTTACATTTACAGCCAAAGCTCTGTGTTGGGGGAATTTATATTGTTACTATAAATGTAACTAGACATTACTTTTTAGAGTACTCTCTTAAGGTCTCCAAATTGCTTCACTATTTAGATGTGGGTATTCACACATCTGCAAATGCAGAAATGTACGAAAACAGAGCAATTGATTAATTATCAAAGTCATGCAAAGGTACAGTCAGACACAGAACTGAAGAGTCCTGACTCCTACAAGCTATTTAATAAATTCCCAAAGTGTTTGGCACAATGCTTGTTTTGTGTGTGGTTTTTGTTTGTCTTGGTTTTGTTTAAATGTTCTCTTCTCTTTCTTGCCCAGTGCATACTGTGGAACATCTGTCCTGAAGATACCAGGCTCCCTCACCATATGGAAGTTTCTGTTCCCACTGAAGTTAAACTCGCACTGCATCATATCAAAGAAGATGGGAATGGTAGCTTTCCGTAGCTCAGGCTCTGGGACCAGGGTTACCTCCAGGATCGGGCCTACCATTGCTGGAATGAATTTTATTTTGTGGGGACCTGCAAGAAAGTCAAAGTCAGATACATCCTAATGCCAGGATTTGGATATTCAAATGTTTAAGCACATTATTCATATACAGACCATAAAACAGGTATTTTGCTTAGAATGAGTATTTTATGTGGAGAATGGCTACTTAAGGTAGAATTAACACGTTACAGCTGCAAAATTCAGGAATAGTCCACAAAAATAATTGAACTGAATTACATGTAATGTTGCAAATCACAAAGGCTCTCTGAAAAATTGTACTCCTGTCCTTCATATGGCAGAACATCCTTTATAAGGAATGTAAGAAATTACCTCAGTAGCTAACGTGTGAAAAGATCAGCTTTTGCAAGCTGTTCACAGAAAAAGAGATTTTGTGCTCTGAAACAGCTGAACCTTAAGTGTATTTCCCCACATTAAACATGAGGAGCTTTACAAAGAAATAAAGGATTTGAAACCCAGCTTGAGAGCTTGAATAAAGCTAATTCTTTAGCTGGAACTCACCCAGGTTATACCACATATCCCTTATTTTGAAGCCAATTTCTTTCCTCATGTCCCCATACCTAGAAAAAAGTATTAGAGAGAAAAAGATGAAAAAGTCCTACGCATCGAAATTACCTTTGCAATGCTGCTGAAGAAATTTAATGGCAAACCCACAAAATCTATTACCCTCTCCTTAAAAAAAACCTACCACACACAAACCTGAATATGCTGGACATTTACACCAATGGGTCTCGCAGATTATATTCCCTACTAAGGGTCTACCAAGAAGTTCCTCAATATTAGACATCTTTTGTCAGATGTTCACCTCATTTTTTTTCTTCCTCACCCTGCCCAGAACTAATACTCAATGCACAGAGGAAGTGAATGGCCATGTGCCATTATGACAGAAGATTGCAGACTCCCTGAATTTTATTGTATTTGTTGTTTTTCCCTAAAGGTTTAACCGCTGACATTGAGAGAATGCAAGAATATTTAACTACCAGGCTTCTTAAAGCTGCCATTACTGCAGAAATTCTACATCAAGATCTACAAAGCTATTTAGGCACTTGTTTCCAGCTAAATGTAGAAATAAAAGCTGCTCAGACTTTGTGAATTTGGCCAAGTTACTAAAAATTACTACTTTTGGGTTGATGAATGCCTCTGAAGTGTTCTCGCTTTCTAAACAGAAAAAGCAAAGAGAGATGACTAAATGTTGCAGGGCTTTTAGGATTCCTGCTAACCTACCTTAAAAATGGCTGAGGAATTGCATAAGATATTGCTTTGGGAACTATGGCAAACCTCCCATCACTGACCTTAGAGTGGAAAGAATCTTTCGGCAAGGTGCTTAAGTTCAGCTCAGCCAACTCAGGATCTGTCTGACCAGACTTAAGACATCCACAGTGTAAAGACCTGACATCTGTCCTAGCCACCCCTCCTTCCTTTATCATAACTCATTAATCAAGCACTCGCATGGCATGCTTCATCTCATTCTAAGATTGTATGGGCTATGTCTGGAACAGTACAAACGAACCTTCTCAAAAGCAAACAGGCCTGGTAACTTTTTAAATGTAAACTCACTTCTTGATAATTTTGTTGCGTTTGGCTTGTGAGAAGGTCTCCAGCTGGAGGGATTCGTGAGTGAGAAAGGCCACTGCCAAATGGAAATAGTTATTCCAGAGCTGTGGAAGAGAAAACAAGTCTAAAATAGGAGAAGACAAAGGAAAAGTAACAACCAGCACAACAGAGCTACACAGCTCCAAGTGCTGTAGAACCCAGATGAGTGTTAATGGGGAAGTGTACCAACAGCGAGCTGGTAGATGAGTCTGTTCTCAGCCATAGCAGGCAAATCAGGAGCATCCAGCAACTTAAAATTTCTCACTCTTTTTAGCTCATACTTTCCAACTAAGGGAAGTAACAGTGAGTACACCCATACAGTATTTTGTTCTTAACTAGTCAAGTACAAATCAGCTACAGCCAGCATGCTGCTCAGCTTGACCTTGTAAAGCCTGCAGCAGTTGCATTTGTTTGCAGCTTATTGCTGCACTAACCACAGCTCTGTAATTCAGAACTGCCCTGCATTCAGCTGCTTTTCTATAAGAGATTACGGACGTTTTCCACAGGCATGCTCTGCATCAATAAATCTGTTAACAGCGGGATCTGTTTGTTGTTCCTGCCTTTCAGGATTGGGGTCCATAAGAAAAATCCAGAAACAATGGAACTATTACCTGGAGTTCAAAATTTGCTTGATCCAGAAAGAAACGGTTGAGTACAGAGGTAAATTGGTTCACCGCCCGGAGGAAAACCCTGGAAGAGATAAACACATCCAATAAAAGGTGGCTCTCAAAAAGATAACATCGCATTGGGTTTACAACTCCTACATGTAAGCTCAGAGATGCTCCCAAACACAACACGTATTCCTCTCTAATGCTACTTCACCTCCTTCCCAGTAGAGGGACATTCAGGGAAAGTTATTTCTCTGTTTCTGCACAAAGGAAACCTTGATAGGAGGCAGAGGAAAAACAAAATACTTTTTGGGTCATCCAATCTCTTTGACAGTGCAGTGTCATTCCAGACGGTAGCTTCTCTTAAGTTTAGCCTCTCCTCACCACTGAAGCATTCAAATCACTTGCCACTTGCATGTCCACCCCTACACTGCACCCCTATGACACAGTGGAGCTACGCTGCCTCCATTTTGAAGAGGACTTGCACGACTGTGCCATGTAAACAGGAGTTACATGCCACTTATTTCTTCGTTCTGTCCCCGGTTCTGTTGATATCGCCTGGGAGAACATTAAACTCACAGGTGTATAGGCCTGTTTTGGTTTTGGCCATGCTTTGCTATCTAGCACAGTAGACAGCTAGCGTGCCAAAGCCATTCAAATTGTACAGACTTAGGAGGAGAGGCTGTCTCACACATGGCCAAAGTCCACAACAGAAGACAGAGGCGAACCTGGGTAGTTCTAGTTTACAAGCCAGTACACTAAGCCTTAGACTACACTTATGTCCAACTATAGCTTTATGTTTGCCACGTGATTCCCGCCAGAACTGAAACGAAAAAGGCTTCTCCAATTTACGCTGCACTCTCTAGCAGGTAAGCGACTGGAAGAAAGATTGCACAGTTTTGATTGTGTGCCTTTGGGCAGGACAAGAAAGATTTCCAGTTCCATCAACAGAGAAGTGGAAGTGCAGGCACTTCCATTTACTGAAATCTAATTTAAATCACCCTGAAACTGTAGAATAAAATAAGCCTGTGTAACTGCAGTGATTTGCAAGCCTGCTTGCGTGTCACCCTCCTTTCAGAACCAGCAAGGCTCCAAAGCAGTAGCAAGACTTAAAACAGCAGCAACTATATACCTGCTCTGCATCATATTCATGACCATCCAGTCAGCTGCATAGACATTTTTTCCAATCAGATCCTTAAACATAATGAATGTCTCCATTAGGAAGTCCTGTTGGAAAAATAAAAACCACAGCCCATAAGGTTAAATAGAGTAGTCTCTTATCCACACAAAAATACAGAGAAATGCAAATGTTTGCAATTGCATTAACAACTACATTGATAAGCAACCAATACACTGTACCTCCTAAGAAGGATCTCTTATTGTGTGGGTATATTCCAATAACTAAATTATTTCTGACATCTCATCCATTCAGTTACAGAAGGAGAAATAATTCCACAGAACATGTTGATCTGTTTAATTAAATCTGTCTTTACTGTTTTGAATTAAGCTGTGTTGTAGAGAGTTCTGGTGCACAAGCTGGATTAAAAAGCAAAACTAACATTCAAGGCCTTGTTTCCAAATGTCTGAACGATAACAGGGTAACAGCCCTATGCAGTAAGCAAAACTAACATTCAAGGCCTTGTTTCCTAATGTCTGAATGATGACAGTCTAACAGCCCTATGCAGTATCTTCTGTAAAGATGGAAATTACAATGTATTTTCACTTGCCCAATAAGTTATGACTTTTCTGGTCCAGTTTAAGAGGGCTAATTAAACAGAGGTAGCGAACATGCTGTCACAGACACATGGTTTAGAACATTACCGTAGAAAAGACACTTTTTACACAAACACTAACATGCTCCAAACAAAGCTATATCACACCTTAAGACTTGGGCAAGGCAAGGTTGTATTGCAGAATAAGAAAAAAGAAAAAGGAAAAAAGAGAGATGAGCAGAAGAAGGTACTATCAAGAATATTGATCTCTATATTGTGGTCTCCACAGATATAAATGCTACCTATGAGCGTTTAAATGGATTCTATTCTCTACAAAGACAGCACATTAGCATTCACAAATGAGAGGGACACAAAGAAGGTCACATGAGAAATCACAACCTTGCAAAGATCACCAGAAAAAAAAAAATTCTGTTGAGCCTGAACAGTTTGCTCTAAAGAACTGGCAAGCGACATCGATGTAGAAAGAGAAATGGGCATTTGGTGCTGCTGCCTCAGTAAAAATCCTTTAGGCGTTATTAAATCAGAGCTTGATGGAAAGGTTTGGACTTGACACAGGGCACCTTGAAGATACAAATAAGCTTATAACAGTGTTCAACCAACCAAGTAATGATGCAATGCCAGGGCTGAAAGTACCAAAGCAAAAAAAACCCTGCAATAAACAACAAAAATCCAAACAGTTATTGCAGTAAAACAAAATGCAGTGTTCTATTGGTATTAACAACTACTACACCACCATAAACGTGGGCTTGCTTCTGTAGTTTTAAGGACTTGTAAAAATTAGATTAGAAATTGTGATTTTCGATCAGCATCTGTTTAAATGATATACAGGTAGTTTTAATGATTACATAATTCACCCTCTTGGTAAGTCTTCAAGTAGAAGCTTTATGCATACACACAGAAACGCAAAAGAAATATTCTCTTATTTGAGGCAGAAGATGCAGAACTATATGATAAAACAAGACATCTTCAACTTGCAAGCTACACTTCCATCTGAAGTTTGCATTTCAGGAAAGCTTTTAAGCATCTGTAAAACCTTACCTTGAACTTAAGTTACGATGATCTCCTACTAGATCAACCGCTAGTTTCTGAATTCTGAATTCAGGCCTACTAAGCACAAAATTTGTTTCAATTCTGCCTTGAACCATCCTTTTTCCGAAATCCATCAGATTTGTCTCCCTAGCACCCTTCTTCCACAGACACAGTATTTCTACATAACCCTGCTAAAAACCTTTTCACTCATTTACTTGACTAACACTAGCAGAATTCCTGAATCTACTTGATTTTGTTTTTCTTCCTTCACAAAAAATTACCTGGGTAATATAAAAAGCAATCCTAAAACTAGATGATGAGTGCTCTCTATAGTCTACGCAGCCAGGTGGCCTTTAGGTGCAGAAGTGACAGAAACGTGTGTGTCCTGTAGGTGGCTATGTTGCTCAACAGACTGCAAGCAATTCCAACTGCACAGGGAAAAAGAGATCACCTTGCCATCCAAAATGAATTGCAAACACCTTCTTGTGGGTTTTGATCTAGCTTTTACAGGAAGAACACAAATCCAGCTCTTCTCCAGCCAGTATAAACAAGCAAGCATTTCAAAGTCACAAAACAAGAAGTATGGGGACAAAAAAGTCAGAACAGTTGCTGGGTCATGCTTCAGAGACTTGCATAAATACTGGTTTTGGTTCTGACTTGTTCCGGGCAGGCTGGAGAAAAATCTGGACATAGCTGTTAATTTTAAGCGCCTCAAAAAAACAAAACAAAACAAAACCAAAACAAAAACAACCTAATGTTTCACCTGGTTTCGTATCAAAAGTCTTTGGGGATATGAATTACACAGCTTTCAACACAGAGTGAACTATTTGCATTGCTGCCCATTAAAGCATTTAATTAAACTCTAGAGCAGGGGAAAGAATTAGATAAAAAGAACAGGATCACAGAGAGATACAGTGAGAGCAAGAGAGGGAAAAATGCTTTTCCTTTTTCATCCTCATTCATTCATCTGGTTCCTGACTTTTCACTTGCACAGACTTAAATAGTCATTAAACATGTTTTTACTCAATGCTACAAATGGTATGTTCAGGCTCTACTGCGTGAGCAACATCCACTGCGCACACCCAGCAGGGGTGATGTGAATACATCCCCAGTGGCTGTGGCATTAGGTGCCCATAAGTCATTACTGATGAATGCAGTATGCTCACTCCAAACTGAGCACACTAACTTGAAGTGACCTTTCAGAAGCAGAGTGTAATTCTTTATGGACTGAGCTAATCCCCCAGCCACGCTGACTTACAATAATGTCCTGCCTGGTTTTGAAAGTATTGATGTAATGGTTGTAATGGAAATCATTCATCTGCCTCAGGATAGCTGTCATGCAGGCCACAAAAATACCCTAGAATAGGAAAAACAAAACATTTAATTATTTTCCTGTATTAAACACTAAGTTTGAAGTGTGGCATGTGCTTTCAGAGTTCTGCCTAATCAAATACCACAGATCACAATCCTGCTCATCTATGTCCTTGACTGTTTAGTCCTCTACCCCAGACCAGTCACGACTTCCTAATTTTCAAGTATGACATCTGGGTATAGCTTTCTTTGTCCCCAGGGATCGCAGTTTGCAAGAAAAACACAACCTCCAAACAATGGAATATATATATATACACACACACACACAAATCACTTCATTGTATCCAAGATCTAAACGATTCTATGATTTTCAAATTTACTATGGCCAACTGTAATTCTCACAGCTGATGTATTGATAATAGCATTAACTTGACCTTAGAGTTATCAAAAATAAGATATTTCTATATACGCCCAACTCTTGATTTTTCCAGCTTTCCGTAAAGGAAAAATTAAAACATTCCAACCTGCCTACCCCTTCTAAGATGCCACACAGTAGTCAGAAATGCCCCTTAGAGATGCTTCATCCTTCACCATTTAATTCTATTCAGCCAAGGTGACAAAAGAGCATTTTTTCAGTAGACTCCTTGTGTATTAGAAACCGCACTGAAACCAAATTGTCCATGCACAAGGGCCCAAAGGAACTTGAAATCAGAGTCAGCTGTGACTCAGTTCAAACTGCTGCTGGAGTAGGACAATTTGCATCCTAATACCTAGTCTCAGAAAACCACCAAAAGCCATGTTTTAGTGGCACAGAAGCCCTCCAGGAAATGGAAAGATGACTTCATAAACCACTGCTACACACTGAAATCTCCCAGGAGAATAAATTCCACTATAACAAATGGCAAAGTAATAACTGAAGCAAGTAAAAGGCTCTCACAATGTGTGGAGACTGTCTGCTCATTCCAATCACCGTGCGGTTTATCCTCCTTAGCAGGCGTTCCATGATCAGCTGGATGTGGACAGCCGTGGGCCCCTGGGGGTATGCAATAAGGAAAATCTGAGACCATTCTTAATGTATACTGTTGTATAGAGCGGTCCTTGTGGGGGGGGACTGCCCTGACAGAGGTTAATTGTTATTAGAGGATGCAAAAAAGGAGACTTAAAACACACAAGCAATCGATTCAAATACTGTAGGCACACACTTGGTGGAGAGCAAGCATAATTGACCTATACCAGCTCCATTAGCTCACCCTGGCATAGCTAAAATGAAGCTGGTGCTTTGATTTGGCATTTGTTTTCGCTGAATAGTTCTTCAGTTTAATTCTTCAGTTCAAACTACTCTTTTCACAGCAACTTAGAATCAATTTCCACGACTAATGCGGCGAGTAACTGTACTCTCCTGACTGAATAACGATCGTTGAGAAAATGAGAAACCAAATACTTTTATGACTTGCTCCAAATAATTCAACAAGCCACCAAAGTAGCTGGGAACAACATTTTGGTCCCTAGAAAGGGAAGTAATTGCTTTTTGTACTGTAGCGATAACCACTAATTCAACCTCTCATGGCTCCTCTTCAGACACAGTTACTTTATGCGCAAAGAGATCCAAAGAACTACACAGCAATACAACACAATGTCCGTAAACATCAGAACTTTGTAATTCTTTAAAGCCTAAGTTGAGAACATTTCTTTGTCATAACTTCTCAAAAGAATAATTAACCTTAATTTGCACACTTGACAGCTCATGCTCACCACATCTTTCTGATCCAGGACTTCAAGAACACTACTAAGTAGCTGTGAGCAGGCTTCATGGTCAGGCTTGTTTGAATTGTCATCCAGCTGGCCACTTAGCTGATCGATTAGTAGTGGCAGAAGAGCATCTCTGCATTCTAAAAAATGAAACAGAGCACAACATCTTGTTGGTCTCAGGAAGTTCTTCAGCATTCAGTACACATGGTGACCACAGAGCAGCTTTCTGCTCCTAACTTAATCTTGGGCACTAAAACACACTTAAATCCACGAGTCACCACCACCAGACTAGAGACACTCATAAATAATCTGTAACTATATGTATTGCATCAAATAGTGGACTCTCACCTCTGCCTCTTTCTAAATTACCACACTGGATCAGGATCCTACAGTATTCGGCGTTGTATAAAGACTGAACAGCAAAAAAAAGTTTCAGTTGTTCCATGGCAAAGAGTATTTCTCAAGATGGATTTAACAGTAGACTACCACTGATGACTGATGTAAATGACACGTGAACTTGAAAGACATTTTTGTTTCTAAGGGTGCGTGGCCCCATGCAGAATCCAGAGACTTCAGTTTGCTACTTACCGGACTGTTTAAACAGATCGCTCTCGACTATCTTGGTCATGCAGTTTAACTTCTGTCGAACTAACTGGTTGTCGGGAATACTTTGGATAAACTTGCTGAAGAGGACACTAGTGTGCAAACCACAAAGTAAGCAGATGGTCAGCATTTCCCCCAGTGCGATTCCGTCCTACACTTACACTGTCCTGCACCTGGGTAAGCCAAGCAGTTTTGTCACTGTGTGGACATGTTACCTGCAAGTGGTCTCCAGGCAAATTACTATGGAGCCCTAATCTATTTTCAACAAACTTAGCACAGGACTTTTACTAAAAACTGAACAGTATTCAGAAACTGCAGGCTTAATCTCTTTTAAACCTCTTAAAATGAAGCTTGCATCCCAAGACACACTAGATATATCACAAAAACTTCTACATAGGCAATACTCTCTGTCCTCCAGTACCAGCACAAGATAATCATACTTACTTTCATACAAAATGAAAGCAGAATTTTGCAAAACTTCAGCAGACCACTGCTAAAACTCAAAACACCGTTATATACAATCACAAGAGCATATCCTTCCAGATGCCCCTTTCATCAAGAGTGATGACTCACTTCAATCCGAGATTTCATTAAATTAAATTCCATGTACATTTGCTGTGTGTCTACTGTTTATGAGAAAATTATTTGTGTCAGAACAAGGAGGCATGGCTGGGAGGTTCTGGGCAAAGCTATAAACACCAAAGAAAAGAAATCCAGAGAGTTGTGAATTTCCTGAATAAACACAACTTTTGTTTTCTTGATGAAGGCTACGCCTTTGTCACACATTTCACTTTACCTCAGAAGCAATTATTAACAATTGGTGGAAATCTGCACAATATTTCCACATATCACTCTCCAGTCCTCAAATTTTCATTTTCAGTAAAATCTCAAAATGCCTAAGAGCAGTTGAGATGCACAGGTTCCTTTGAACTACACTGACTAAAGCCCTGCAAGCGCTTCCTCAAACTCACGCACAGTACATGCATCATCACGTCATAACCAGAGTGTCTGTTTTTAGGAAAGTCTCGAAAATTCTTCCCAACGTATGAGCTGGGTTGAGAGGACAAACAAACTTAATATGGTTACCTGAGCTCAACAGGGTCAAATACTAGTTTGACATCATTTATGATACTTGGCAAATACTTTAAAGCTGCACCCTGCAAAAGAAAAAAAAGGGACATGAAACACACATGGAAATGAGTTAGACTAGCTAGTTGATTCTAAAAGGCTGTAAAGTCTCAACAACAATGCCCATAGCTCACGTGGCAAATCTAGTTTTTGTCAAGAGCAAATATGCAGACACCTGCAGAGAACTGGCTTGAGATCAAATTTACACATCCAAAGAGCCCCCAGCAACAACACATCTGCAGTGCAGAGCGGAGAAGGTGAAGGAGGAAGGATTCGTAGCCAAGTTCTCTAGTTTTTGCAAACATCCTGCAGTTCCAGGGTTTAAGCTCCTTATAGCCTGACATGAAAAGCACCAGTCAGTTAAACTGACTCAGCGTTCTGCATACTTCAGCATGTCCACATACACAGTAGTAAGTTACCTAGGTACTAGTATGGCTTTCACAAATGTAGCATCCAGACAACTAAGTACAACAGCAACTAAAGGTCTCCCTGGGATGTTCTACAGCTGCTGCCAGCTGGTACTCTGACTGCATGAGAATCAAAGTTGGGCTTTAAATCATCCAAGTGCTAATTAAAAGTTTAGAATCAATCTTTCCTTCAAACAGACAAGCATGTTGGCTAGAAGAACTGAAAGTAAGAATGCAATCTAAAGGCCTCATTGCCTTTAGCAATTAAGCAGCCTCATTGCATGGCTGCTCTGCTCCTCCTCAGAGCATAAACAGAAGGTTCATAAACCCGCTGACACCAGAAAAACAAGCAAGTATAAATCCTAAGATACATTTAGAAATCATTTGTTCTTTCATTACTTTCATTCTCAGCATTATGTTGATTTTTGCAGTGGTTTAACATTTCTATCTCTATCACCCTCAAGCCTGGTGTTCCTGGTTGAAGTGTCTTCCACACTGCAGTAGATTACACCTTCGTTGGTTGCTAGCTTTCATCCTAGCAGGTGCTGAAGGGTTTTCAGCAAAGCCACAGCTCTCATCTTAATTTGATAAACTTTGTGGTTTAAATATTCCTTTCCTGTCACACAGAGCTCATTAAAACAGACATTCGGAGGTGGTGTGACTCATCTGAATGGGTTTTACGTGTCTCAAAGCTTGTCCCTTTTTCTGCCCCCCCCGCACTGTATCAGTTGACCTAATAAAAGATATTACCTCTCCCTGCAGATTATGCATACCTTAATCTTCACAGCCTCCTCTAAGGGCCGGTCCATGAGGACATTGAAGGAGAGGAACAGCTTGCGTATTGCATCATTAAATTCATCCCCATCTTCACTTTTCCCATAAAACCTACAAAGAACAGAAAGAGCTAGTTATACACATAAATCTAGGCTAACAGTGTCACTGTAGCTGAACTATGATTTTATCTGGCGGAACAACATCTTAATGCAATCTCCTCCTACAAAGACAGGAGTGTACAAATGGCATCAGGGATTCTGCAGTAATTTCCTGCTGCAACTGCTGAAATCTGTTATAACGGAAAAGCTGCACTTTTTAAACTGCCACTGCCTCAAACTCTGCTTGGGTTCCAAGACTCAAGTAGCTCACTCTGTATTTAACAAAAAAGTCAGAATGAACATGAGAAAAGGATTCCAAACATCCACTGTAGATCTTTGAAAACGTGTTTTAAGGCTATGGCAAAACCACTGTCATTGACCATATCCTAATGAGACAACGTGTCGCCCTCACCTAACAAGTAACCGTGTGTGCACTTGTTTCTTAAAATGAGGAAGTCACTCCATGTTTTAATTTTTTTAACAAATAACAGGTTCCTTTTCAGCACTGCCATATGCTCCTTATGGCATGCTACAGGTGACTAAAAGGATTCTCCTCTTCAAATTAGCTATCTCAATTTCTGCTCAACTTATTTTCTCTCGCTGTAGACAAAGGGTAGAAAGATACTCCTCTCTATAATTCAAGGATAGAGGATATGCTGATGAATATCCCCTCCAGTGGTGTTGAATGGAAGTAACTCCACTGACTTCCAGGAGACATACGGATGGCAATGACCTTGGTCTCACCTCAGGTACAATATTCGTGACTGAACAATGAATCGGAATAGGTATTTCAAGGCTTTCAGAGCAGCAAACAGCAATTCTGTCTTGCTGGAGTCATCGGCATTTCCCACATAACAGTTCAGTACTTTGGTGAGTTTCCTTTGGAAAAAAAACAGATAGGAGAATAAATATAGACACAGTGAAGTTTCTGTGCAAGTCCAGCTTCCTTATTCCAGAGAGGAACTACTGACTAATAAACAGATAACAGACAGGGGTTCCTCTCCTCTGCCTACTTCCTTCTGAAATCTTTGGCTTCATGGGATGCCAGATTTTCATAATCAGTTCATGAATTCTCAGAATAGTCTATAAATTTGTCTACAAATTCTAGCTTCTTGATCCGCTTTTCTTTTTCCCTCAAAGGAAGTGTTCAGGAAGATGGAAAACCCACTGCTACTGAAAGTGGATCGACATCATCTCCACGTGTTGGCACTCTCATGTGTGGAGCACAAAGTTCTTCCGCAGCAATACTTGCTGTGTGCTTTGAGAACTGCGGACAGAAGTTGCATTAACACATTCTGAGCGTTCGCTACTTAGTCTCTGCTGAATCAGAAGATCAGGATCTTCTGGGAGTGCTATGGCAGTTAATATTCAGGCAAAATCCTCTTCTCTTCATTAAGCAACTCCGCACCCAAAGCAGCGTGTGAGTGATAGTCAAGTACCCAACAGCTTTTGCACTTGCTTGCTCGATCTGCCACACTGCCAGCATCCAATTCCCTGTTTTGCCAAATTCTGGCATGTGGAGCACACAAAGGACACTATATATTATATACATATTACAGTCCACTTGGCATTATGCAGATACCACATTGTCAAGCCAAGTTGGAAAGAAAGGCAAGGGAACAACAAAGCTAAGATACAGTGTGGTCATTAATCAGACAAAGAAGTTTATTTATAGCTAAGAGAAGTAAGAATGATAATTCTTCCATAGGTTACAGGGAAGAAGGAAAGGAAATCATACGCAAGCAGTGGTTGTGTGGCCAGGGCAGGGAAGAAGACAGCAACCCAGGAGATGGGAACTTCAGAGCTTTGTGGAATCGTGTTTCCTCACAGAATTATATTTACGTTGACAGCCATCAAAGGAGGCCGAATACCCAGGACTAGGAATTCACGCATATCAGTAAAAACAAGCAGAGATTTTCAGAGCGGAAAAAGAGCCTGATTTCTGTTTTGCCCTCCCTACTGACCCCAATTTTCACTTTTTAGTTGCCTGTTACCATGAGGGTAATGACCTCTGGGTTGAGGGGCACTGGATCAAGAAGCTGGGAAGTCGAGATTCCTGGCTTCTCCACCAGCTTGCTGGGCATCCTTGGGCATGTAAGCCATGACTAGCTATAGCACTTAAATGATGCCGCATTTTTAAGCACATGAAGTCAACAAGTTGACCAAAAGGACCAAATTTTCACATATACCTAAATAAATGCTGTGCATCAGCTTTTTCCTTCCCTGATAAAACAGAACTACTGATCGTGAGTGGGATTTTTTAAACTCTGTTGAGTTCCACAGACAAAAATGCTACAGTGAAACAGAAATACTCCCACTGTCCATACCCACACATCCACATGTGAAGAGCTGCAAATTTCTTCTAAACAAATGACAATCTAGGTGAGAGTTGCAATATGTAAGTGTTATCTCATGTAATCTGCATGTTTAAACCCCACCATAACATTTAGCCCTTTTCTGAAGTCTGTGGCCTCCTCAGCCTGCCTGGTTGTAGACAGACAGCGGAGGTGAACACCATTCTTATCTCTGCTACCATCAACCACAACATCGCTCGTATTATTTCAGCCACGTACGGTTCTGCTTCTGCTCCCTGTGACCCCATTCAAACGCACCCCTAAAACTGTAGCACAGAGTGCAAGGCATACAGACTATTTCAAACTGTCTTCTGCCCAAAGTACTTTTGAAAAGGTTGAGGCAGATACTGGCAAGACAAAACAGTTCCGTGAGCAGCAATACTTACCAGACCAGATTTCTTCTGAACTTATATTCCTTCATCATTTCCCCCCCCCCCCCCATACCAACTTACGATATTTCCTCCTGCCTTCTGCGTATACCCAGAACAGCCACCCTTATCCCGCCCCATCAATCTTTTAGCAGCAATACTAGATCAAAGCACTCAGAAGTTTTAAGGGAGACATGTATACAGACTGAGTGCACTAAACCTGTTTTCCATCGGAAATCAGGCTGAAAAACATGAAGATGCTTTTACAACACAAACTACAGAGGACTACAGGTCAACACAGAGTCTGAACCACACAGTCCAATATAGGATTTTCTATAACAGCAGTGTCTTCTCTTTACAGAACAAAAATCTTAGAAGAGAAACTTTACACAGGATGAAAGGAGCAATTAAAGGATTTCTGTCTCTCCTGAAAGCAGAGAAGAATAGGGTGGAACACTCTTATCTGGTCTATGCTGCCTTTATCACCTTAGCGTAGTTTACCAGAACTACCAGCGAGACACTGTCTGAATGACGGCCTGTGGGCTTGCAGTCAGCAATACTTACACATATGCCAGGGTTGCACTGAAGTGCTTGTAAATGTAAGTTTCAAGTACAGGGTTGAAATGCTGGAACTTGATGTCTCCGATCAAAGAAATAATAAATACCTGTCAAAAATTCAAAAGGAAACAGATGTACAGAGCTACACAACCTTTAACTAACTCGAACATAACTCAGCCTCTACTTGCATGTCATTTATTTTGCTGGGTCATAGTTCTTGTTTGTTTGTTTTTCTAATAGTATTTATGCTACAGATAGAGTTATTTATACTCTAATAGCGATTAAATACTGCGGTGTGTGTGACTACATCATTGCTCAGAGTGAAGACAGGTCACAGCAGCACATAGATAGAAAAAACCTTAAGAGATAAATGGAGCTACTTCTCAAAGCTACAATGGTGATACAGGAAGCAGCACTACTCAGTCTTTATGTGACACTGTCACAGTACAGGTTAAATAGGCACCGAGCTGCCGAAGGCTGTTTTTCACAGCTATGAAATGACGTTTTTGAAGCTAGAACTTGAGATTCTGATCATTTATACTCGTAGCAAACACTCAGTTCTGTTACTAGAAGAGCCAGGACATTCTGCCTCCCTGTATTCACTCCCCCACCAACGTCAGCTGGATACATCTGACTTTACATTTCTTCCTGAACTGTCAAGTATGTGTTTGTTGATCAGCATGAAGCACATAACTTTGTTACTGCACTGCACACCAGAGCCTTTCACACACATAGGAAGCAGCCTGTCCAAAGATGCAGAAAACTCTTTGTTAAGTCTTTTACTCAGTCACTACAATCTTCCTATGAAGGCTCAGAGGAGCAGTCAGCCTTGCTGTTTATTTACTGGGGTAGAATTTAGGGTGCATACGTTATGTTCTCACCACAGCCACAAATCCTCCACCATCGTGACCCTGAACAAATCACTTCATTTTGTGCTTCATATAGATAATGTGGCTTTTCTCCTTTGTAAATTGTCTTAATGCAAGAAGTTGTCTGAAGAAATTACTATAAATTATGCAAACATTTATTACTGTTCTCACTGTGGTCACTAAAAAGCTCAATGTGTATCTCAGTCCTAACTCCTGAAAATGCCTTAAGAACTGTTTAAATATAACTTATTTCTCAGCAAAATACCAATGACTCAACTAAAGGAAGCACCAGGAACGGCCTGAAAATGTGGCTGAAAACCGGATACTCTAAATCCACAAAAAAAGACTCACTCACCAGCGCATCAAACACAAGGAAGTCATAGGTTTCATTTTCTGACATTTCCATCATTATGTTGAAAAGTGCATCAAGGGTGTCTTGCAAAAACTAAAGTGGGAAAAAAATAGGAACAGAGTAGGAAAAGACTACTACTTCTGGAATCCTGCACAAGAACCTACTCTTTTGGATCATTTTTCCCCTTCCAGCCTAGCCCAGTTGAACTGTAAAAGCTGCACATGAAAAAACATATAAAAAAGGGACCTTAGTCCTGTATTTGTTCACGTGCTTGTCATGACCATCACGCTATTCTCCCTCACTATAGCAAGATGGATCTTTTCTTATCAACTCTCGATGGCCCCACTTTCTTTTCTGTTCTATTGCCTTTTTATCTAGCAGCAGACCTACTGAATACACTTAATTCTGTCCACATAGTTTAAGCTTGCATTGGGCTACATCAACCAGACACACTGCAGTAAGGCATGACATTTTACACAAAGACTGGTTTGCACTGACACAGCATTTACTTCAGTTGTTCAGCAGTTCACTAAAACCATGACCTTGCATGATCCCAAAGGATCCACACTTTGGACCACAGGAAGTCTTACCTCCTAAATCCTTCAGCAGACTATTTTCTGTGGTGCTTCCCCACGTTTCAAGTCTATTCCTCACCATACTCTGACTTTAAGCTCTCTGGGCCTTCTCTGCACTCTTCCTAGATCCACAGCAAGTCCCTATTCACAAAACAGGTCCAGAGCCGCTACTGAAAATTAACAGTTAGGCTTTGAACGTATCTTCTTTTTCTAAGGATAGAGGGGAAAATAAAGTCCCCACCATTTCCCCGATCCTGGTAACATTTAACTTCTGTAATTCTGGTGAATTCCACTAATGAGAGCCCTTAGGGCAAAGCACACCTTTTGCTCTCCCGTTGCTCAGCAGCTAGAACAGCTCTCCCAGCCTATACAGAGAGATTTTGGGTACAACACAATCACAGCCCTTTCAAGGTCAACATCAAGCACATACATAAGTCTCTGCATAGCAAGAAGACTCAAATCTCTGCATACCTTTACAATTTCTCCTCCTTCCACCTCCATTAGCTTCCTCAGGTTGTGAGCTATGTTCTGAGAGTTAGAACGCCAGTTCAACAGACCCAGCAGGTCAACTAGCAAGGACAGAACATCAGCAATTAGAAACAGATTACAACAACACAGCTGACTTAATGGCTGCAGAACAATATAAGTACTAGAGGTTATTTTTAGAATTGGCTTACAAGGAAAAGTCACATTGATGTACAGAATATTACCTTGAGATGGTTCCTTTGTCTTGGCAAAAAAGTTAGCTTTTGCTATAAATAGAAACCTTGGTGTAATTTGATAATGCAATGCATTTGGTAGACAATTTTGCAGGCTACTCATTCACTCAAGAGAAGATTTCTCAAGCTAGGAATTTTATTAACAGTGCGTGACTTTTCTTAGTAATGCTTGTGTCTACGTTAGAGCAGCTTCTTGGAGATGGTTCTTAAAATTGAAACCTCTTCTATAAATTATATTAACCTGCAGAGCTGTTTATCACAGTTCTGGGACATCCTAGGACCTCAGGTTTAGTTACAAACTATAGCTGAGGCTTTCAAAGGAGCCTAGCAGTTTCATGCACACCTTCCATGTTAACGAAATACGTACTTATTTCTGTTCTGAAATGAAATTCATTTACTACCTTCAGATGTCAGAATATATTTGAAACTTAACAGCCTTGACAAAGACTGGCACATTCAGAAACAGAGGTTACATGCAGGAGAGCAGAAAGATGCAAACGTGCTCGGCCTGCACATCAGGCAGGATAACGAAAGTCAGATTCAGTCCTCATGCACATGGAAGTATCAGTATGGCATTTAACTTGCACTAACCAGCCAAGCTCAAACTGGGAGCAGAAAAGCTCGTGCCCATCTCCCAGCAGCTACACAGGGACACCCTGACGAAGCCACAGCTGGTGTCATTTTCACAGACTTCTTTCCCAAAGTCAGAGTATATAACGAAAGCCTTCCAGAGCTAGAGGAAATCTCGCACCATTTACCAGCACACAGTGTATTCATTCACATACATACATCAGGAGAGTTAATGCATAACAGCATCCTGAAGAGTGCAGTTCTAATTGCTATATTCTTAACAGGCAGAGGAAAGAAGATAATTAACCTTAAACATTTATGATTCTGAAACACATATAGACTGTCGCTGATGGGTGTCACTTCTTTGTGTGCCAACAAAACCTGTTCAATTTAACATTGGTAGTTTCGATAAAATATTCGTGTGATATGGTCTTTAGCAGCTGCGTAAACATCTTTATAGCTTGCACTGGCAACATGATGCCAACGATGCTGGGACTGGGCTGCCACCGACACATGAAACCGCAAGATTAAAGCTAAAGTGCTATGCCCACACATGCTGCAATGCCAAAAAATTTACATAAAGAAAGTGCCCTCTTTACTTCAAATATACAGCATGATATGGCTAGGCTGCTAACGCACGACCTACCATTCTGGGTGAGTTTGGTGGAGCAGATCACAGTGGCAATCTGGAAGCTGTCTTTTGTGCTGTCTTTAGCGGGTGTGAAGTTGGTTAGATGGTGCAGATTTTTCCCAGAGGGGGCCTCCTTCTCCTCCATCTCCATTTTGGTACAAGGAAGAGTTAAATAGCATTTAGCATCTTCCATTTTCTTGTTTTCACCCTGTTGGTAGAACACAGCAAAGACAAGAGTTATCTCACACTGAGCCCACCTCGTCTGACCTCCTGCAGTTCTCATCTGCAGACGCACTTCAACACAGTGACAGCCAGAGAGGGCTTTAAACACCTTTTCAGGTCTATAGCTGTTTACTCACATTGTCTGTTTCGGCCTCCAACTTTAGGGAACAGAAGTTTCCCACACTGCCAGTGAACTAAGCTCTTTTTCAGAGGGACTCAAGCCACAGAGTTTAGGAGGGTTTCCCCCCCACCCCTCGCCCCCACTTTGTAGCTTTCTACTGCAATGCATTAACTTTTTCCTTTTGCTGTGGCCAAAGGCACCAGGTCTCTCTTCCTATCACACACTGATCCTCCAAAGCAGTGCTCACCAGGCCTTTTTGTTGCACACTGTCTAGGTGAATGACATTAGAGCTCTATACAGAATATATACAAGGATGTACCAGATTTGTGTACTTGCAGTCAGAAAACCCACCAGCGAAAGCAGAGCTGAGGGCGACATACTTAAAAAAAAAAAAATTACTATCCTATCATCCTGGAAAAATTATTACAAATCTCTGCAGTGATGATGTATACATTGCTAGGAATAAAGTCAGCCAAGAGAGTGGTTTTGATTAGTTAAACAAAAGTGAAGACTGCAAATGCCCCAGCTACCTTATAAACAATCAAATTGTGTTTGCCATCTTGCAGCGTTGTTCCATCTGCATTCATCAACTTCACAAAGCCCATGCCAAAAGCCCTCTCAGACTTATCCCTAGCTGTAAACAGAAAGAAAAATCTGTATTAGGAATCATCTTGTTTACGCCCATACTACACACAATGCAGCTCTCTCACTACATGCACCTTCTCTATTTAATAGCATCACACGATAATGCGATGGAGCTAGCAAACTCTGTGACCCACAGCAGAAAGAGCTCTCTTTCTCTCCTTCTCATCTCAAGGCACGTAAGTAGGTATCTGCAACTACACAGAAAAACGCCCCCTCTGAGCATCTCTTGCCACACAATTTCAGTGGTTGTGCTGCTAGCTGGACATATGTAATTGTATAGATATTTTGTATGGGATTTTGCAAATCTGCTTGCAAGGTATGGATGTAGAAGTATGTCACTGCATTTCCCAGGTACCTTAAGAGAATTTTCAAGAGCCTTTCAAGGCCTTACTCTCACATTACTAAGTTTGTTTCAGGGCTCTGAAGTCATTTAATGAAACTTCTGGCTCTAACTTTCTCATTAGCCTTCAAACAACCTAATTAGAAATCCTCCTGTAGGAAGACCATTAGAAGCCCTGCACTGAATTTTGTGAAGGCCTTGAAATAAATTAAAAACAACACCATACACTGAGAAGCCAAAGCAGCAATGAGCATTGACAATTGTCTTCCAAGCGGACGAACACGTTGCACCCCATCTAATTTCAATTTTAGAACAAAAGCACCACCAAACCTTTCTTAAGGCTGTAAAAAGTTTGAATTATTTTTCTTTGCCTGCAAGAAAATCCACAATGCTGGAAATAAGTAGCAATGTAAACACTACACCTTTGGTGGATACTCAGAAAATCTCACCGACAGCAGGAAGAGTACAGTACTCCTGCAGATCTTCTCTTCTGATACTTACATTCCTGTGACGACCGATGACGGAAAGTGAATCTTAAATGGCAACGACTGACTTCTTCTATCGCAATGGACACCTGCACATTACAATACAATGAAAAATGCAGCACCAGTATTCTCTGTCTCCAGTCAATTTAAAGGACATTCTATTACTGATGCACCTACTGATTTTAAATCAGTTCCGTTTTCAACACAAAGGAAGCAAGACTGTAAATTACACACTCTTACCTTTACAGTTTCATACCAGCAAGGTTGCTTGACTTGATAATAAACAACAGACTTGTATTCGGAGACACCTTCATAACCAGCACCAGGATGAATAGCTTTCTTTGGACAAAAAGACAACGGGAGGAAGGGGGAAGAAAAGGTAAGGTGTAGAATGAAAGTAATAATTATCTTGGGTCAGAAATTTTCAGTGCATGTAACTATCAGAGTTCCTCCAAGTCTATGCTTCACAGTCAAGGGGACTCAATGCATGCCGCCTCTTTGGAAGCTTTACAGAATCTTCAAAGATTTGCTCACACCTCTTATTAATTTAAAAAAAATAATCATCAGTGAGTATTCAAATTTGATCACTGAGATCACCTACAACATCTCTTGTTCATTATCACAGAGTTCTTGCATACAGTTAATAAATAAGATCTGATGGACCAGAGTCATCATCTAGCAAACACAGCAGCCTTGTGACCTCCTGCAAAGGCCATCATACCTCTTGGAGATTTCCATCTTCATCATATACAGACATCGTGACTTCTACATTCTTGGGAGTCTTCTTCTTCCCTTTGTCAAACTCCCCTTGTATCAGGGTGACATAGATATCATTTCGAACATCACCTAAAATTCATAGCACTTAATGAGTTCTTTTTGTCACACAGACAATTTTACAGGTTAGCATTTAACATTCTTGGGTACTTTGTCATCTTTATCTTCTTAGCCTTTACTGATACTCGCTAATTAACGACACCCACCATCACATCATTTTATCTTCATCTCAAGTTATATCAAATCTTTTAAAATGTACCATTTTCCTTTTTATAAACCTCTGCCTTTATGTAACTTTTTTTTTTAATGTAATGAGCTCTATAGGGCTAAATCCACTTTGAATAGATTAAACACAGCTGGGTCAAACCTACATGCAGCAATGTCTCTGACTAAACAGAAATTTTCTTCCAAAAAGTACACACACTGTCTTGTTCCAATATCAGAAAGGAAGCTTATCTTTCCACTTCTTTAAAAAAAAAAAAGATTGCTAGAAATTTCAAGAAAAAGGAAAAGAAGTTTTCAAATAGCTTTAAAATAAATCTGTTCATAGCAGAAATTCCAGAATTTCAACTGGCTCTTTCACTCCATGGAAGTGCGGAGGCATATGGCACCTACCAGGAAGGATTATCTCGGGAAATCCCATTTTGCGAGCCACAGCAGTTGATCTGTCTACAAGGTGAGAAAAATCCTTCTGAACCTGTGCTAGATCGCCAGGAAGTAGTTTCAGCGAGACCCAAAGACCTAAGAAAACAAAGGTAATGCTTGTTTACCAAATAAAAAGTATGAAAACATGACATTTAAGCGTGGGCTTAACAGAAAACTGTTTCTTCACATGATCTGCACGCAATAATGCCTTAAATACCCCAAGCTGGTTCTCACTTGCCCAGTTCTCTATTTCCCTAATGCTGAAGACCACCTTACTGGGCACGCAGATTCTCTGAAGTAAACTACAAACTTCCCAAGACTGATCTGCTAGTGTATTTGAGAAAAGGCCAGACACACAAGCCAGAGCAGAAGAATCCTGAACAATGCAGTTTAAACCCAAAGTCATTTAGAATACACAATCAGCTATATTCATTTAAAAATACTTTACGTCCATATAAACAGTTTTATCTTACAAATATTATATTACTAGCAACTAGGTCATCAGCTAGAGAAGCTCTTTTCACACAAGTAAGGACAGCTCCTGGTTTTATTTTTTTTAGCTCTCTGTGTCAGGATGACAAGCATTACAAAGACAATACGTTTGGCTTAGGGCAGGTAGCGAACTCCAGTAAACCTTGATCTCTGGACTTTCACAGGCCGTTTATTTTCCTCTGTAAGCAAGGGGAACCCTTCCCCGCACATTAGCTTCTCGCCCAACTGCTGTACCTTGCCCTTTATGATTCACTTCCTTTGCAGCAATGACTTTGTTGAAGACAGAAGTGAGGGGCTCATTTTCTCCGATCACATGGGAAGTTATCAGTGGGGACATGATTAGCTGTCGCTGCCTGATGTATGTTTCCATGGCAATCCTGAGAAGAACAACAATAGAGACCAGGAAGCAGACAGACTAACATGGAACATGTGCTCTGCAAGAAGAGGGCTGGCCAACAGCTGACTGTTTTCCAAAGAAATATTTCTTTTTTTAAAGGATTCCATGGGAACTTTTTTTTCCTTCTTCACCTGCACAAACCCAATGGAAATACATGTAAACTCTCAGACTAGGAAATACACCGCAGTGCTAGCTCAGGCTTAAGATAAGTAACACTGACCTAAAGACTCCGTGACTACATTTGCACCACAGTGAAACAGCAGCCTTCAGGACAACCATAAACTTAGCCAGCTCTGCTTTGTTCCTGTTTTCCATCCACAGACTGACTGTCCCGCAGACCTGTGAGAACAGGTTCAGCTACGGGCTATCACGCAGGAAAAGCTCGGCGCACAGCGCCTTGCACTCTCATCCGATGAGCTGAGCCCTGTCTTCAGGTGCGCCTCAGAGCTGGCCCTGAGACTATGTAGATTAACTAGTGATAAGTTAACATAACTAATGACTGCTGTGAGATCACATGAGTGTTGAACCTATCCCTAGTCACAAACATATCTATTGAGCTTTGGCTCCTGAACCCAGCTTCACTCCTGTAGCCACACCACCAATAATGAACCAAAGCATACACAAAATGATGTGTCCACAGACTGCCCATCCTTGTAGAGGTGTCCAGATTTGGATTTAAACTCAGCCTCATTAGATCAGCAGAAAATGGTGTAGGGGGAGGGAGTAGCAGAGTAACATTATTCTGCAAAGAAAAGACATCCTTCTTTGCAGCCTTTCAGGCCCTGAAAGGGGGGGCGGGAAACAAAAGCCCACACAATCTCCCCTGAAAATACCTTGAAATAACATATGGCTACACCAAATGGGTTGCTATATTTAGGACTGTAACAATGTGGCTGTGTCTACCCAAACAAGCTTTATTTTAATTACTCTAACCTGCCGAAAGTGAGCAATCGGAGAGCGGGCAGAACACGCAAGTCTAACTAGCAATACAGAAACACAAAACACATTGGGGCTCGAATTCCTTTCCCCAAGAGAGAGAAATCCCTTTGCTGTTGTCCTCTGGCTCACCCTTACAAGGTAGTCTGGGAAGCTGACACAGACAATACAAAGGGTACCACACAATAGTGACAAGAAGGAGTTGTGCTCTCTATGCTCAGGTGTTTCTGAAAATCCTGCCTCCCAAACCCCTACCAGTTTTGAAGATCACAGCCCCCAGACCCCACAAAATCATTTTACACTACTCCCTAAGCAATTTAGCCTATCACCAGACATGTAAACCAAGGGGAACAAAGGCTTCAGAGGACTGACAAAAATCTTTTCCTTCAAAGAGCTGACTACTGCCATAAGCATTAATCTATTTGTAGAAACCTTGACACACTGCCAGGCTCCCATACAAATCTGTCCTTCTCCAAAGGATAACTGCTTTAAATAAGTCAGATACACAATGAACTGTGAAGTCCAGTACTTACTGTTGAAATGGAATAAAATGTTGCTTTTCCTCATCATCCACCTTTCCATGTATGATATCAGTTATGTCCATCACTGCAACGACACAAGTTCATCACATAGTTTTGCTAAGTTGTTAAAGAACAGACAACACCTTCCCCTATCAGAATGGAAACAAGAGTTGCTCATTTTGGGCCAATTTCACTCATGACAGCAATACAGAGCAACAGTCTCAACTTCTTAAAAAGCATCTTTTCATTGATGTGTACATCAGCCTGCAGTAGTGAATGCAAATGTACTCTCTGACAAAAAACAGGTGGGACTCAAGCCTTTCCAGGCAAAGAAACTACACCTAGACTTCAAAAGCTGATTATTTTGAAAATGTTCTCCACCACAAATTTCAAGCAAGTCTCTTCACAAGACATCACAGGATTTGGATGTCTCATTCACCAAGGCTCCTTCAAAAACTCCAGCTTTATCCCATTATGCATAAGGAGCAAATCCCTCTTTGATAAAGACCTAAAAAGCCTACTGCACTGATGGCAGGGTGTTATCTTTTTAGGGGGTGACAAAACAAAAAATGAACAGTAACAGGATTTCATCTTCATATACAACTTTCATTAGAAGGTCTCAGAGAGGTCCTATATATAGCTCAGTATCAGCATCTCCATTTTGAAGCCAGGGATGCTGACACTTAGAGGTTAGGAGGCTTTGCTGACATACAGCATAAATTTCTGAATTCCGAGCCCACTGGGCCATACTTTTTTTCCTCCACTGATTGAATTTGTCCTACCTGCGACACCAAAGGGCCTCCGGAGTCCACAGGTATGTTTCTTCCCATCTTTCAGCTCCATATGTCCGACCCTCACAATCTGACACACCAAGCTGATTTTCGGTCTGATCAAGTCAGAACTGCTTAAATCCTAGAAATTATTTAAAATAAAGTTATTTCAAGCTGCCTTATGAATGGAAGAGAAGAAGACAGAGAGAGTAAGACTTTTTTTGCTAGATTGTACACATCTACAGAAGGAAATCTATCATTTTTTAAAAACTAAAACCTGCTCCCTTTGAGCCCTGGGTGGGAAGAGATGGGAACCAAAACCCTAACCCTACAAAACCACTAGCAATTTCCACACAGAAATTTCTAAACATTCTATCACTCTCTGATAACACACTCCAGGAACAGTACTGGAAGGAGAGTAAATGATGTTAATTGCCAAAGTACTAGCTCCTGATGACCAGGCAGTTAGTTTGTGCCACCTCTGCTACATGTCAGAAGTTATTCCATTCATGTGCAATTCTTCCATTAACATCTTGGTGCAAATAACAAACTCCAATACAGAAAAGGATCAGCAAAGCACTGAACTGAAAAACAAACAACTATGATCTCAAGCCTAGATTTTCGGTACAGTTAGGCTCCAACAGTGAAGTGCTTAATAGGATTTTCAGAAATGCACGGGTGAGCAACACCCACTGACAGTATTGTTCCAAAATAAAACACCTTTACTACTGCTTTGGACTGACATACAAAAAAATACTTTTCAGCAGCATTCCTCTGAGGCTGCCTATAACATCTTAAGAGTCCATTAAAACACCCCAAAAAGCCACATGTGACTCCTCTCTGCTGCATGGGGAGAGGGAGGGGAAGAACCTAAAACTCTGATGTCTCCAGCATGGGGAAGACTTTCCAGGTTGTAAATACAGTAACTTACAGTAAACACTGCTTGAAGGTTATTTAGTTTCTCAATTTCTTTAGGCATCCCATTACTGCCCCAACGAACCAGGTAATTTTCACTGCAAATAAAAGACGGGAAAAAACAAACAAACAAAATTAATCAACTCCTGACATTTCCATTACCTGGCAAAAGCTCAAAAGCATTTTGATCTTTTAGGAATTTTTAAAAAATTCTGCCAAAATCTTCTATCCCAAAGTGATTCTGAGGTGACTCATTCCAGTGAGGGCAGAAGGCAGGCAGGATGTGAATGAGTATTCTCAGTTACTTCCCTACATAACTCTGATTGCATGTCCACACCTGATAACTCCAATGATGGAGACAGAGGGTGCCTGACATGTACATGCTTCCTTGATAAAATTCTTCATATCTTCCCCTAGCAGCACAAGATGCCCAACTCTTAGGTGTGAACTTGCACTGACTTGACAGCAAACGTCATGCATATACATGGTTTAACAAGAAGCAATTAATCAAATGCATCAAGTCTAATGACAACAGTAGGGAAACTTAACAACATAAACAGACAATCTGGGATTTTGACTAATGTGTCACAGAAATGCACAGCTTTAAGAAGGAGAGTGCATGGGCTCAGAATCTTGACTTCCTATCTCATCTGAAATTAAATAACATCCTTCCAAATCACCACTGGGGCAACAACCAGCAAAACTGAAAAACTTCTCTGCTGGATCTTCCTTTCTAACCTCTACTGGCTTCTTTGGAATGACCACCATGGTGATTAAACCACTTATGCATCTACAAAAAAACCCTACCTGATGAATTTGGAGAGATCAGGATCATAGAGGCTCATTAACAGCTCTGCATCTTCTCCAATATTGCAGACAAAATTCTTGAAGTTTACATACAGGCTGTATGTATGTGTTGTGTTGAATATTGGCTGCCCTCGGAGGTCCAAATTCTGTTGCAGGGACTGCAAAGAAGGAGAGTACTTCCATCAAAAACAAACACAGAAGAATCTAGTTCTGCTGCCAATGCAGCACGATATCCTTAAGAGGAATGCACAAATACATTGGGTACTAGTTACTTGAAGGGGACAAAGCCAGCGACAAGAGATGTACCTTCTCCTCCTGGATCCTTTCATCAATCCTTTTGGATGCAGTTTCATGGGACCTGAAGAGAGAGATTGTGCTGGTTTCATCTGGGTCCAAGATGTTCCCATTGTCGTCTCGTACAACCAGGTCCAAACCCAGGATCCTGAATAGCATGCAAGTCAGGAGACAAAAGAAACAACACGATATGTAAGAAGCAAAGGTGACTGGAAGAGCATAAACTACAGATCAAACTGTGGACTGCTCTAGGCACACAATGCACACCAACTCCACTACTTTTAATAATCACATTGCTGGTATTCCTGTCTTGAAATACTTATCCCTCATTTTCCCATTAAAGGGAAAAATAATTAGTCAGGTAACTTAATTCTAAGATGAATTCTCCTTTGTTCTTTCTTAAAGGTATTTTAATTAAAAACCAGTATGTATATCTATCAAGCTTATAGATTATGGCTGATTATTATTCTTTACCATAAGCTTTCTTCTTCATTGACTTAACTTGACCTGAATCAAGTCTGACAGGCAGATAAATGAGTTTTGGAGACAATCCCTGTTCTGTACAAAGCAATGAAAGGTGGAGTTTTGGTGGCCTATAGAATCGTATTACTCAGTTGCTGATAAAGCAGTTTATTTCATCACCAGCACGCAAATCCTGGGCTCCAGCTAGTCAGGCACAAATTGTGCTCCATGGGAAATGCCATCACATGCCAGCATTTATGCAGAATTAAGACAGGTAAGATTTCCTGCCAAGTCAATGAGATTGCTGGCATATGAAGACCCAACTGCTACGCACCCACCTGCCAGGCTAGTCAGATTGTGGTGGGGACTGAAAGCTGTAATTATCCCCTTTCCAAGGAAAAATGTAAGCCTAATTCAGTGTTCCCCCTGCGTGGTCGTTTACACCATTTTGTATTAATAGCCTAGAGCCTTTACTGGGATTTCGGGTGCACCTCTGCCCCTCAAGACATAGTTCAGAGTTTACCTGTTGCCATAGTCAATCTTAGCAGTGACTTTCTTCTTGAGCTCAGCTAGCTCGTCTTTGGGAAGGGTCCCAGACAGTATCTGTGACCGCCATTCTATCAGGCTGTAAGTCATCTGTTGAACATGTCGAAACTGTGTGGTCTTGTTATCCTACAGGAAAAAATAGACAATTTTAAGCTAGTGATGGCCTCAACATGATGAGCTCAGTAAGTTTTCTGAAATGTACCCAAGTGAATCTACCATACAAGTTGTATTTAACTAAAAATATCTGAGAAATTGGCACCATAGGACACTACAAGATTAGACCTGTAGGACAAATTCTCCAGTACTTTGTGCTGCCAAGGTTTAAGTGTCTCAAGATTCAGCGTGTTCACCATTTCCTCAGGACATTACTTCAGAAAAAACTCACAGACAAAAAAAATAGACCTCTGGTGTTTTCCAGCACTTATACTGCTATGATAGGTGCTTTTTATATACAGGACAGAGAGATAATGTCAAATGATAGCAATTGTGTTCCAGCAGATTGAGACAGGAATGACAACACAAGACACAAAGGCTCTTTCTCCTTACCTCTGCCATTCTCAGAATGTGTGACATTGAGCAAGTCATTTTTTATGCATGTTTCCCATTTGTTTTGCCTATTTAGATCATAAGACTCTGAGGCAAACACTTTATTTGCTTTTAGAAGTCTAACGATGATATCAAAACATAAATGATAACGACAGATGACCAACACTGAAGCCTACACAGGCTTTTTTGCACGACTGTTCCTCCTATAGCTTTCACCAGACTAAAGCACTCTTCAGTCTCTTTGTTACATATAGAAAAAGGCCTCCTCACCAGAATGCAACACTAACAACACGAACAACATGGCTACTTGCAGTCTCTGCCCTCACGCTGTTTACAGTATTAGCAACTCTGTTTTAAAGCCAGAACACTAAGCAAATTGAATCCATGGACTCATTGTCATGGCTGCCTGCTCTCTTATCCTGTCCTATCATACACTCAAAATCCATTATGTTAAAAAAAAGAATAGCAACAAAATGCAGCAATATCTGGGATACACTACTTCCCTGCCAGTATGCATATTAAATTTAAGGTTCATATTCTACCACTGGTAACTCACGCGTGGACTGTCGTGTCCACGTGTGATCTCCAGACAAGAGTTTCCTGGAAATCAGAGCAGCTCTGTGGAAACACAGTAATCTCTCTGGGCGGTGTCTACCAGCAAAGAAGGCTGAAGATCATCTGCTCTTCAGAGCATGCATTTTTGTTTACATTTGTACATAACTTCATGCAACACAATCTTGACTCATCCTGTGCTTGTAAGCACTGCCCCAGCAGTCGCTGCTCCGAACCTACCATGCCAGAGGTTGTCTGAAAATGCAATAAAGGTGTCACGTCTGGTTTCCCAGCCACCGCCTCCCCAGTCTACCCAGGTACTCACTCGTGTTTGCTGCAGTCATTTCTTTTTCATCTTTTGCTATGAATGCAGCATCTGCCATTACAAAGCACTGACTGAACAGGACATCAAAACCTGCTTTGTGAAGAGTTTCCTCCTGCCATTTCTACTATTATCATCTTTAATTAATGAAAATAATTCTCATGCTACTTACTGGTTCCACCTTAATAAAATAAGTCACACAGCTGTACACCTCCTTCCTACAGTTTCAGGCTCCAAAGAAGACACTGTGATTAAAATGTGGATAGCTATATGCTAACCAACCATATTTGCAGCAATACATACAAGTAATTTAACCCTCTAAACACATCAGCTAAACCAGTTATACCGTTCAAATGGGAACCCAGGCCTCAGCCTCTCTTTAACACCGCAACTGCGAGCCAGTTACTAGGATGATTCTGGCTTGCACGGAGTGTCAAGTGCAGCTCATTTTCAGAGGGAAGTGCCACAAATCAAAAGACATTAAACTTTAATTTACTGGGACAAAGTTTACAGTCATGCAGCTCCAAAATGACTGTCCAGAGGCTTGTGACTACATCTCGCCCAACAGCTGGGGGAATTGGCCAGCGCTGTACTGCTGGTACGTTCAGGCTGCAGCCGACTAGCGCCAGTGCTCTGTATCGAAGCTGTTAAAGTTTAACTAGGAGCCCCAACCGCTCCCGCGCAGCAGAAAGGGACTCATTTCAACATTTCTCACTTCTGGTCTCTGCAAAGAACATGAATGACATAAACTACTCAATTTTCCCCAAGAACAAAAATCTAATGGGAGTTATAAATATCCATCTTGCTTTTGATTTGGGTGAACGCACTGACAGAGGTTATATAAGTCTTTTGTCTCCTATAGGGAAGATACTAGCGACACTTCCTAAACGAAGAAAAAAGTGTGTCCTTAATTCGTGTAAAAATAATTTCAAAGAGAAGGCAACTTGTGTTAGCTTTCAGGGAAATACAGAGCAGATCTCAATCTGACAGTTAACTAAAGCTGAGTTATCTCTACAGCTGTTTACATTAGCTAACTCCTATTAACTAAACGAAGTTAAAAAACTCTCACCCATTTTTATATTTATTTAGCAGTAGAGATATACCCACTGGTGGAATGCTTGCTGAAAAACACAGAAATTAAAGAAGTGAAATAAAATGCTGCCAAAGAAAAAAATCCCCTGTATTTCCTTTTTCTCCTCAAATACCTCCTTCCTCCTTTAGCCTTTTTTTTTGTTGTTTTATACATACTGCAGGGGAAAATAAAATAAACTCAAATCCATTTCAAACCACAACATTTTCCAGGACTATTTTAAGATTTATATTGGTTAAGCACGGGAACATGAAAGATTTCTTGGTCTAAGAAAAATAGATTCTGAGGCTAGGATCCTAAAGTTATTCAGGAAAAAAAAAAAAGCCAGGAACAAAACTCTCTTTTCACACAATAATACCATCACATACAGCTTCTCATTAAATTAAGAGGGTGGAACAAATTCTTGTGGTTTCATGGCACACAAACAAAACGTACTTGTGGCCTGGTGAAATTTTCAATAGGAAAGCTTGCTCTGGGTAAACTGAATGGTTAGACCTAATTTAAAACCATTCTCTGATCTTAATTAATGTCTCACAGCACATACATGCTATGCAGGCTGAACCCACTACTAAATGAAGAAAAATCAAGTTTGACTCTCTTTAATGCGCCTTAATAATCACCTTCAAAAGAAGGTAATTCATTGAGAACACGAGTTGTGTTTCTTTGCGCAAGAACGCACCTACCTCAGCAAAACCACCAAATCCATGCACTACCTTGGCTTATGACTTCTCTGAGGTGACTGTCACATGGTCAGGCTACTAAAGAGATTTAGTAGATGAGAGGTCTCTCCCTCGCCCTACTGAGAACTAAATATATTATGTGATTTCTGACAAGTCAAATCCTCCCCCACCACACATGGCCCAAATTCTCTTCCCACCTTTTGTCTAGCTCGCCTATTTGAGCTGCAGGCACTCTGAGGTGAGGCTCAACCATTCTATTAAGTACCTACAACACTTCTAGAAAAACAAGGTTCACACTTGCTGAACGTTCTGTTAAAACAACATCCTGGTTCCTTGCGCAGCTGAGATATCTTGCCCTCATACAGGACACACACGACAGGCAAAGCAGGAACCCTTCTTTAATAGCGAACTGCGACTCACGCAGAGCCCCAGTCAGCTGACATGATGCTGAGCATGACTGGTGCCAGTCAAAGCTTCACCAGTGCTGTGTCATCACACAATTATTCACGTACAGCGAACACTGTAGCGTGGACTAAGCCGCAGTTCTGTCTGTGATCACATATCCTGTTCAGTGGAGAGCAGAACATTTTTAGCCTCTCAAGACCAATTTTACAGCAACAACAGTTTTACAATTCTGTTTAATGTTCTACTGAAAGCCTTAAAGTGCCCTGCAAAAAGCCCAGTCTCATCGTCACTGAAGAAAGCTTACCACGTATAACTTGTGCCAGATAACTGCCCACTCCCTCAGCGTAGAAGTGAGTTCTTGTCCAAGGGGCAGTTCACTTGGAATCACTGTTTCATGTTGTCTAGAAGAAACAAAAAAATGGGAAAACGGAAAACAAGTGTTACACTCAAGATTAAAAGTTCGTAGTAACACATCCTTTTTTGATAAATGTGTAAACAGAAATTGCAGAGGACCCGATATTCACACAATTCACTCATGATGCCAAGAATCTTAAATTGTTCAGTTGGTTCTCCTACACACACATGCACCTTCCTCATCCATTTTTAATGCAAACATGTTTCAGGTTTCTTTCAGTCTTGTTATTTTCAACTCATTTATTCCAGAAACATAATGCTAAACAGACAGAAATCAAGTTTGGAAGAATGACCACTTGCAATGGTACCCTGGCTACAGTTATTTAAAAAGAAGAAAAAAGGAAGTACTTTCTAAAGTCTCTTCCTTCACAACCGCTGTTTTTCTCTCACTATAATGATCACAGAATCAGCTCAAAGAATCAAATGAGGAGTCATTTCCGTAAATGTTTTCCAAGACAGGAAGGAATCCACACTCTGCTGGCTACTTGGCTGCAAGCAGGAGTGTGTTACGACTTGCAGGAGTCCCCAGAGGAGCTAAATGTAACTTGATTGAGCTGCCTCACTACTAACTTCTCTAGCAGAGCCTTCTTACTTCTGCAAACGGTATTCTCCTGCACCTATGCCTGCATTGTTATGGTATCTACAATACTCTGAAAAAAAAAGTTAGGCAGCTCCAGAAGCGTAGCACAGGCAGTATGCCCTGCTGCACACACAGACCAGCAGCATTCATTACAACCACCACTCCTTCAGTTTTCTTTTTTTATCTTTTTTTATCTTTTTTTTTTAGTAATGAAACAGCATTCCATTGGTTTTGCTACCAAAAGTACACCTCGAGAAGCTCCAACCTACCCCCGGTCCTTCACGATTGCCTCTTTTAAATGGATATATGTTTCTGGGAAAATGCCCTAAAAATAAATACAGAAATAAAATAAATAAATCACCCCATAGGACATGCAACAACAAAAATGCATTCAGAGAAAACAGGGGAAGGGGGCAAGAGCACGATCTGCACAACAGTCACTGTGACTGAAGTTTACTGGTTACTTGTAACAGCAATGTGTCAGGTCCACCAGTCCCTGTATCACAGGAAAATAGACAGTAAGGAGCATCAGGGTGCATGCTTCAGCACTATATTTGATATTAGCACCTCGGAGAAGTCAATTCCTTGTTCCACTGTAATGACACTCATCTTCTTGTATGAAATGTTGTAAACTCTTGCAAACTATCAGTCACATTCATTTGCCCTTGCTACAAAATATTCTTGTAGTCATTCGTCAAGCTGCCCCGGACCTGTTCTCTAGAAAAGCTCACAACACATGACAGCATTTGTAGGAATTCACCAGTCTCAGGTTTCCATTATTTAAGAGAAACTTTCTAGGAGTGCTGCAATCCTTTTTTTATTTTCTTTTCACACCCCTTTATGCATGAAGAATGGAGACTGTGAAGGGTGTTACCACATGAGAGGTGCTAGGATTCCTATGGGAAAACAGATTCCCATGCTGTTTTCAAACAGGTTTCACAAACCTCAAAAAGTTTAACTGAGATCCATGCATGCATAATTTTTGGAATATTTTCCAAGTCAAATCAAAACTCTGCTCTTACCATCACATATAACTAATGCTGGATGTGTTCAGGTCCAAGACCATACCAATAAAGCAATAAGCTAGTGTATGCAGATATGCAATCAATTTTGCTAGTTCAAACTACATTACGCATGCTTACAAGGGAGGAGTACCCAGTGAATGATTCTGAAACATTAGCTCAAGGGCATTTATTTCTATCACTAAGGAAAAGGACACAGTGTTCAGGAGACCTGCACAATATTAAGACAAGAAGTACAGCAGAAGCATAGCCGATTACAGCGCCGGACAGGGTCTGGCAAGGTGTGAAAATAAGAGTTACTGAAAAGCAAGGTCATACCTTCTTTGATTTATTTCGGAGTGTGTATCCGCGGTACCAGCCTGTCAAAGAGAAACAAAACCCTTTTTGTTTTTTTTCCTGTCTATAGCAATCAAATACACATTATCATTCTCACCACTTTTCTACAACATAAATCTATTGACCTCGCTCATTTGGGATCTGCCACTGTGAAGACACCTCTGCTCTGTTTGTCCGAGGCTTGGTTCCCACCAGCAGGGCAGAAGGCAGTCTCTCCCTACCATGGGCTGACACCCTCGCTCCTGCTCTCCACATCCACTGGGGTTGTACTGATTGGGCTCCACAGAAAAGCAGGCCACTCCGTGCTATACATTTTGAAAGTGACAATTCTCATTCCATAAAGCTTTCAAGTTATATACACAACATAGAACTACTGCTATGATCATTTGACAGATGAGGCAGAGACACAGACACGCATGCAGAACTACCAGCCCAAGATCATATAGCAGATACTGGCAAAGAAAAATATATTCAAGTGTCCCAAGTCCAATTCCACTCCACTCCTTTTAAGTTTTCTTTTCTATGAAGTCCATTTTCATCCAAATCATCTTATAGATTGGGCCCGAGTTCCACACCATATAGGTTCTTTATTTCCTTCTGTGACTCAGTCTAAAGCCCTCCTTCAAAGCAAGGCTGAAACAGAATGTTTTATTAGATAAGGCAAAAAAACCCCAACACTGAACTGCTTGCCCTGGTACAGATATTGTTTCTCAATATTATCTGGACTAGATCCAGTAAAGTATAAGACACAAAGTAATAACTGTGATCCCCAAGACTCAGAAGCACGTGTCGCTTTCAGATGTGCATTTTTCTCTCTTCAGGAGACAAGCATCGCTGTGGGCAAGTCACTCCCACTCTTCTCTGCCACCTCCAAACTGGGTTTTTTCTCCCCACCCTCACCTTCATCATTTGTCTCGGCTATGTGAGAGCTGTGCATGACCAAGCACTTGTTCCACTGGGTGCCTGTTCCTTGCCATAAGCAACAGTTTCCATCACCTTCAGTCCTCCTGAGATTACTGTACTGGAAATAACAAACTCCACATTTCAGAAGAAGAAATTGCTCCGTTTTAAATGCTGACATGTAGACATAATGTCCCTTGTATTGTTCTGGGATAGGATGCAAACTTGCACCTTCCCACTGACTCTCAGCCACTACAAACGTCGTTGCAAATGCCAAGGCCCTCTGCGACCCCCACTCTCAACTAACCACGCTCCTGGAGCGCCGTTCTTTGACTCTTCTCTTACGGTTCTACTTGCAACGAACAGCACCAACCCTGCCTCCTAGATTACAGTCTACAATGCACGAACAATGTTCAGAGCTATCAGACAGACAACATCACCGATCCCAGGCGATTATCTTCAGCTGACTGGCAGAGGGAGCAGCATCAAGAGGGCAAAGGGATTTAAGGGAATAATCAGGCATAGAAGAGAGGAGCGGAGGGTGGGGTTTTTTGTTTGTTTGTGGATTTTTTTCTTTTTGTTTTTTTCTCCCATATATATTTAGTAAAGAAAGTTCCATGAAGAACCATGGATCTGAGACCCCTCGACCATAAACTAGAGGTTAGGGTGGGGTTTTTTTTGTTTTGTTGGGTTTTTCTGTGTGTGGGGTTGCTTGGTCTTTTTGTTTTCCTTAAGCGTAGTTTTTTCCCCCTTCCCTAGCAATGAGAAGGTGAATCAGCTTGATCACAGAAACCCCAATATTCCAGCTGTAGCTTAGGAGGAAAGAAGAAATTCCATTCCTTCCACAGGATGAAGATAAGATTATCCATTGATCATGGACCAATGGATAAGGTACTGGATTAGGGATGAGAAGATTTACGTTCTATTTTTATCTAAGTTGTAATTAATTGAATGGTCAAGTACAAGTTACTTAGGGTGTGATACAAAGCTCATGTAATTTAACAAGAATATTTTCCCAGTGATTTCAATTCCATTTGACACAGTCTCTCAGCCTTTCTATACCACTGCTTCCTCATATTTCAAATGGCCTCCTGGCATTAACCACATTCCTGTAAAATATTTTGCAATCATTGCATAAAAGCATGTTCTATGTTCTTATGCAAAACTATTTCAGCAACCACCTCGTGCAATTTTTTCAGAATTTTGCTCCAATTTTCAATAATCTTGTCCATTATTTTAAAAGGAACAAAAGATTTTAGCAGTGGTCAATTGATTACTTGATTCCTTCTTCAAAAAAAAAAAATCATACTGCCTAAAGCTTCAGAGGAATGACAGACCACTTAAGTGTTTCTCTTGAGTATTTTCCCCAAGCAGAGATACGCTAAATGGAAAAAGGCTTTACAGCTGAGGATGACACAGCAAGTTTCAGCTACTACAACATTTTTTCGAACTGAAGTCTGATTAAGAATGCAAGGATAGAACAAACGTCATACACTTTGGTTTATTTGTTTGGGTTTTTTCTAAATGGAACACAGGTCCTCAATTTTACCTCTCATTAAATGGATTTTATGCAGTATGTAAAAGATCAGAAAATCTAAGAAAAATTATTCAAATTACAATAGTTTAGATGGTGAAAAGTTAAACACAGCGATGCAATCCCAGGTCACGTGCTTAACCACAAAGCCTTTGTTCCTCTTCCACTGTAGTGTACTGGCTCTCGGTACCACAACATACACTGCTGCACTGTTCTGAAATAAAACTAGGGATTGCCTCATTTACCTACAGCGGGCAGAGGAAAGATCAAAGACTGAAACTAGGAACAAATTCAGTGCAGACTTATTTTCATCAGGAGAAGAAACAGACTGGAATCACAGTATGTGATTCACATGTCTTCTATCCACAATTTGGCTATTTCCCACAGCTTGCGTGAAATAATAATATATTCTGCAGATTAGAAAAGAATCCCCTAAACAGACATGTATCCTCCCCAGCTCACCACTCAAGGACAGATTCCCAGAGGGCAAGTAAATCCTGCACTGAAGCAGCCTTCAAAGTACTGGATGCAACAAGCTTCCTTTTTTTCTTGGATTTTGCAGCATATGCCCAGTGTTGATAATATTTGGCAAACAACAGGATAAGCACGCACTGTTTATATTACTGTCAAGTGGAAAAAGTAATTCTGTACAAAGACCTCATGCCCCTCTGCAACCAGACAGCCAATCAGAGAAAGGAGGAGAAAAAAATACCCTGCTTTGCAGTTTGCAAGAGAGTTATCATGACCAAGACACCTAAACTGAAAAAAACCATGCTTTGCAGAGGGTATATGTGTATTTGTTCTAAAGGGAAGGTAATTTCAAAGCATGCTTGAAGCCCAAGTGAGACATTTCAAAACTTCTTTAAGATCAGTCTCACAGTAAAACACTGAATATGCAAATTTAGACCCCATCTGCAGTGCAAACCCCACCTACAACTGCACCTAATGGCAGACTGACAAAGATGCAGTGTGCCACAATTTGTTTTCCTGGACTGAAGGAAATGCTGCACAGTCTAGACTACGGAGTTACCCAACCCAATAGCAAACCGCTCTCAGGTTGTCCCTATACGGCTTCGAGCTGCACCGGGCACGAGCATGTTATAGCTTATACGAGAAATACTTGAAACCTTTAGTTCAAACTGCTCAGTCTGTGGTTTCAGCTCTGATGACCTTCACTTCAACACTGTGTACTTTGTCCACACTGAAGTTACCATTTCCAAGGATGATCACCCTTTGACGAATCCTTGACACGGGCAAGCTGCAGTCCAGCAATATGAACAATCTACCATGCACTCCCAATCCAAGCCTAACTGCGTAGTTGTAGCTGGGACTTCTAAAACATTAGGCAAAGCATCTGTTTAGAGCATGGGGAAAAATAGCTTTACGAACAGAAGTGCAATGTCAGAGCCTCACCCCGAATTTGGCCAACTTTCCAAGGACTTCCAGCCTTTGCAAGAGGCCTCTAACTCCTGATGGCATGCACTAGCATAAATGAGCAGGGATTTTGCAATTTAAAGGTGCTTTCTCTCATCGTGAGGCCGTTAGGCAGGACAACAGCAGGACCTGACTTCAGGCACTCCACCTTCGGAGTCTGTGAGACACTACAGTCTGTGGCAAAGCCATGTAACAGCAGAAGTCTGCGCAGCACAGAGGCCTGCGCCAAACTGCATCCCTACCTCTGGCTTGCATTTTTAATTCATTTTATTGCTCTCTGCTTCTCACACACCTCCCCCAGTGGCTTAGCTGTATCAGTGTTATGTCTCCAAGCTATTCGGCCAGTTGAGAGTCAGATAACACTTACTGTTAACACCAAAACCCAGCGCAAGCTTCAACCTTGCTGCCTCGCTGTCGAGGAACAAACTGTGCACTTCAACTCTTACAGACAGAGTGGAGCCAGCCAAAAGCCCAGCTGCAGAATACAAAGAGCTTTCAAGCACAGGCTGCTCGATACACAGAGAGCCTTCGCTGAACACAGCTGAGGAATGAGTACCTGCTGACTTCAACCAGAAGGAAAAAGGAGGCACGATCTACATGGCTGACAGAGTGGGAAGGGAACTGCGGTGCAACAGCCCTGAGAACCTTCTGGTAGCTCACAAAAGATGCTCCTGTGCAGCCCGAGGTAGGCAACAATAGCAAGGAGCAAGATTTTCCAGGTGGCTATTACCATGACATGAGAGCCTCTGGACAATCCTGAAAAACTTCCCATTAATTCCCTAAAGATTGTTATGGATAGCCTAAGGAACGCGCTCAGCCAGGAGCTGCAGGGGTAACTTACACCAACTAAGAAAAGACTTCGCAAGGCACCTCCGAGCCTTTCTTCTTGCAAAGCCAACGCCCTGGTTAAATGGAACCTTTTTCTAAATTGAGACTTGTGTATCCAGATAAGAACGGTGATTAGTGGAACAAATCTCACTTTTATCAGACTGGAGCTGTATTTGTAAGTATACATCATTAGCATGAGAAGAAACAGAAAAAGCTTCTTGTGAGAACACCAGTTCTCAAAAACACAATCCACAGATACCTGGAAAAAGTTGCAGACTGATGTCCCAAAAGAAAGAAAAACAGATACAGTAAGACAGGAGAATTTCCTCACAAGCAGACAGAATATCAGAATTTGGACTTTTTAAGATGAATTTATGGGAAATAAGATCAGACCCACAGCAGAGTTACCATCTCAGAGACAATCTGTATCTTTTCCTTTAGATTCACAAAATGTCTGGCCTGAATTTCTGCCTGGAAAGGTATTCAGTTCTACTGCAGTAATTCCTGGGTGCCTCTGTCACAAATCAGGATGCCATACTGATGACTCGGTGTATGAAAACAACCAAAACACACTGACTTCTCCAAAAATTTACCATAAATCTTCTCAGGCTGAAGTTCCAAACTGGGACATTTCAGGTAAGAAAAGGGATGCTATTTGCATATTAATTTCCTATTCTTGACTGTCTCTCTGTTAAACAGACTACAGACCCTTTCTCCCTCTTCCTCCACCTCTGCCAAACACACTCACCACTATCATCACACACATCAGTGTAAAAACACACCTCAGCAACGTAAGCTGCTTTGACATGTAGGAACTGGCTGGCTGTTTCCAGTGTCAAGGTCAAAGAGAAGTAGAAAGAGAACAATTGGCTAAAAAAAAATTGCTAAACAAGCAGCTTGTCGTTCCCAGCAGAGATACTGAAGAGTTTCTGTACACCGAGTTTTTTTCAAACTGATGCTGCTTATGAAAATGATTGAATTTATATTTTGGAACAAGTATTCAAATTTCAGAGAGCCTTCCAAATGAAGCAGCGACCAGTATATTCTTTAAAATAATTAAATGGCTGTGGTCCATTCCTAACACTGAAATCTTCACTAAAGGGTCTAGTTTAATAAGTAGATATGAAACACAAGTGTAATAATCTTCATCTTGTTTAAAATAGGAATTTTGTTTTCCTTTCTGCAAGATGTTTTACATTAAGGTATGTATTATGAAAAACTTCCCAGTACAGTACTGGGAGAAACAGCCTAAAAAGTGCATGGAAGCTCTGTAACTGGAGACTTTTTAAAACATATAATGCCAGTTCGTGGTATTATGGCTTAAGCCAACATTACTTTCGAAACAATTAGACCTGCCTTCTCCTTTTCTTTCATCCACTGCCTCCATCGTCTCAGATCAAAGGACTAATTCAGGTTAAAAGACACTTTTTAAAAAAAAATCTAATTATTTCCCAGCTGGATCAGCTCATCACATGACTACATAAGCACTTGCCCTGGCACAAGGAGGAGTCAAGGTAAACAGGTGTGGTGTGAAAACAGGAATGAACAGCCAGAAGTAAGTGTTTCTTCCTTTTCCAGTGCTGCCTTGAGATGCTAGTGGACTCTTACCTTGACAAACCTTTGCCAGGAACAGTGCAGATATGATTGCTGCTTCTGTATTTTATGCATTATTAATATCGCTTTAAAATTAAAAGTGCATACAGCAAACACTACCTAGCAAGCTTTGTGATTTTGGGCATATCAGAAGCTGAAAAATCTAGATCTGAAATTTGTATTATTTGAAGAAATCTTGATTTGTTATATTTACTTTCAAAACTCACTGCAAAGTACCTTGAAGTGATCTACAACCTACCTTCATACATCTCCAAAATGTGAACAGTGTCGCCAACTTGCAAGGAGAGCTCCACATCTTGGACAGCATTGTAATTGTAGATTGCTAAAAAGGGGAAGAGGGGAGAAGGAGATGAAAACACGATCATGAAAGCTGTGAGGTAATCAGAGTTTGAAATCTGGTATCACGGCACCCGTCAAAGGCAGCATATGATTTTGAAAAAGCACTACAAAGTTACCAAGCTATCCTGCGTATATAATACACCAGAAAAGTATGTGGCATATCTATTCCCAGATTCTATCATCAGTTCCTGCAAGGGTAAGAAACATTATTCTTAACAGCCAACGTTGTCTTTTACCTTTAAGAATACAGATCTGTGACACTACCTGAAGCAGCTGCCTCTTCCCACTTCACTGACAACCTGCCCAGCAAAGGTCACTGCTACCTCAGGCAGAGGTTATGGAGCAATTAGACAATTGTCATTTTTTATTAGCGTTTCACAGGACAATGTAGTGCCCACAAGCACTGGTAAAACAACATAAGGTGGATGCCGTAAGAAAAAACGGCACTACTCTATACTAATGCCTCAGACTCTTTGCTACTAAAGGCTCTTCCCAGACAAGAACCAATCTCAGCACGAAAACTTGAGATTCTCTGCAAATCTAATCCCTACCAAAGACAAAGCTAATCTGAACGCTTATTGGATTTCCAGTAGGAATAGGATTAAGACCCGAAGCCCACGCTTCTGAACTGCCTTTTCTCTGGAACTTTCTTGAGGTGCACAGTTTCACTGGGCAAAGCAGAACAGCCCTCCTTAGAGCTGCTGGAGGCTTGTCAAGATGAGAAAGTTTAATTTGAATTTGCTTTCAAAACAACGCAAGAGACATAAAGCAGTCAGGAAAATACTTTGCTATGGCTCAATGAACTGACCGGCTAAATCAAAACTGACCACTCCTCTACCAAAATGAGATTAGCTTATTTATTTATTTAAAACACTGGTTTAAGCACATAACACATCTTAAATGCAGTAATGCAGTCTTCTCACACACATTAGTGTTGTATTTCCGTATCCAAATCTGTTCCCCAAGCAAATGTATTAGTGAAGTAAGCACAATGTTTATTTTTAAGAAGGCAAATAAATCATGCAAACATTTTCAGGGGGCTTTGGGAAACGTCTTCAGAGGGTTTGTACTGGAAGAACTCTCTCTCAAAGATAAATAAATAAATTAGTTCCTATGTCAGGAAATTCGCATCAAATGCCTATCATTTCTGTCAAGATGAGATATATTGCCGCCTGGCAAGGATCCAGCACAAACAAATGACTGTGGCTTACCACACCGGAAATTATCTCCTATACACTAGCTTTCTTTAAAATATTGTAACTATAAATAATCCAACAGAAGCCACCACGCAATGTGAATTTCCTGCAGTATGTGAAATAGACCCTGATCAAACACAGATACTCATTTTCTTATGCTCCAGGGGCAATGTCTGTTCACAGTGGCCCTAATTCATGCCTACCGTAACTTCAGGGCCTGCAGAGATACACACAGGGTACGCACTGAGCCTATTCCATCGTCTTCCAGAGGGTTACAGGAATGTTACTGGCCTCTTGCTCCTAAGGCACTAGCTGCTTTGACATCCAGTTCCTCTCCCTCCGCGCAATGATGTTGTAAGCCAAGATATTAAAAACTGACTGGTGATCTGTCTATTCAGTTTAGACACCTTAAAGGGCCCCGGAATACACCCAAAAAGTGAAAATCTCATCAACATTTTTGCAGAAAAATTTGGATAATTTTTGTGGCTGAAGACAAACATGAACATACACAGGAGTAGATCAGAGTAACCCGTTACAAACTACCTTGGTCTTGACAGGTACTAGGATCATAAATTGATGGAAGAACTGGTTAATACCGTATTTGATTCAGCTAAAAAGAAACCATTCTGCCAGGCAGAGAAAGTAATTCTGCAAGGGTCTGCAGAGGCCAGCATTAAAGTGCAGCACCCAGCCAAAGGATGTTGCAATCCATTACTTGGATGGGACATCTCCGCATCTCCCCAAGGCGCGGCAGGAAGCGGGTGGATGGATGAAACAGCCCAGGCTTCCTCTGGAGCCATGGCTGAAGTGTTGGCCCATGACGTGCTACGGGGAACTGCGCTACAGAGGAGGTGGCATTCCTCAGGTGGAGTCCAGGCATCCAGCAGCCGACAGACATTAATAATCCTATAGCTCTGTCAACACCCTTCAAAGACGTAAAGCAGAGCTGGTCTGCCTTGCTTTCTGTCCTAAAACGCTGCTCGGGATTCCTGTTTCATGGCTGTGCTCACCATGAGAGATGGTTGCTGTTTGGAAATGCACGTGTGCTTCTATGTATGGGGATTCCTACAGACAATTTCTAGATGCCTTGCATTTCTTTGGGACAAACAGACATTATATAAATACCAGTCTGTATTTTTCCATAAATTGCTGCTTTAGCTTCAGACAAAAGCAGTCTGAGCAGCACCAACTGTCTAACAGAAAGGTGGGCGGGCATCAGACAAGCCTTTCTTTGGAGAACACAGAAAGTTAATTCAAAACCAAAGAGCACAACAGCCACAAGAAGAGGGAGAACTAAACACTGCAGTTCCCTTCCCCTCACCAAAGATCACAACAGCCACAAGCTAGGG